AGGTAGGCATGCCCTCAAAATAGACCTGCCATCGTCGGGCCTAGATAAGCAAGATAGGTAGATATGGTCGAGAAAGGTAAATTCTGAATAGAAATTTCATGATTAAGTCCTGAGCAGGTACCAACGAGGATGCCTCTAACAAGACTCGTAGGAGCCAGTTAGGGTCTAGTTAGCTACTTCCTGAAGTAGTTTCAAGTGAGGTTTTAAAGAGACTTAAATGAAATAAGACCCAATTGATTTTAGTTCTCAAAAAAATAGTGTTAAGTAAGAAATTTAATACAAAACGGCCAAGTTCGCATTTGAATTTTCTTGTGAATTGATAACGTAACAAAATAGGGCCTGATTAGGTATAAATAGGCCAAAATAGGATCTAGTTCAATTTACAAATCTGGCCCTAATTTCTACGAGCATTATATTTCGATGTAGGTTAAGTGGGTTTGCCTTAACAGGACGTAAATACAAGTGGGGAACAATTGTGTAGGGTCTCCGTTTTAAAATTCCACCCTCTCGCGCGTATTCTACAGTATGCACGTGACAAAAAGTCACGTACGCATGCGTATTATTGCGAGAAGAACCTTCATCACGTAACCGATGGAGGGATTATATAAGTATCGATATAATATCGATGTGGTATTTGCGTTCAATGATTATAAAAGTCCGTGTTTTACCTTTTATGTTTCTACGGTTTCCCCGGATTTTACATCAGTCCGATTACGTGCATTCGCCGTTCCGCAAGGTAAGCCCCGCACCTCGTTCTCCGTAAGCGACCGTAAGTGCCGACGGTGTATGATTATTATTATCGAAATATTCGTCTCGGTTAAGAAAAACTTGTGTACGCGAGCACTCGTCGAGAGAGACAAACGGCGGGTTCGCGGCGAAATTGCGGAACCGAATCAAGATTTCCCTCTCGTTGACCCAGATAACGTCCGCCAGAAGATCGCCTCCTCGTCGGCGAGGAGATCCGCTCGTTTCTCTGGTCGCGACGAGAAGACGCCCGACGGGATTTGATACACGACGACTGGTCGCGTGTCGTCGAGATGAAAATCCGCTTATGACTTATCGTGCTAGCGTGAATGTTCAAGCTCAGTTAATGAGGGCGCCGTCGTGAAAAGCCCGTGCTCTGCGCCGAGGAGATACCGATCTAAGCGTCATTACCGCGGCGAACGCATCTCGCAACATTCGCGCGGATCATGATCGAGCTCGCGTGCATAATGCGACCCGTAATCAACGACGCAAAACCGCAATCCTGGCGTCCGAGCGTTTTCGCACCGCTGAACCGGCGAGACCGCGGGCAAAACGCAGGCGCGACTTCGATGCCCAAAGGCGACCACTTAGCACTACAATATGCTTTCAAGGCGACTCGCCCGTTGTTCGGATATTATTGCGTATCCCATTCGTCATGATATCGCGTGCACTTATTTAATTTAACGATTGGTCATCCGTTTACGAGCGGCAGCTTTTATTGTTCCCGGGCGCGAGTCGCGCGAGACACGTGCACGATAGTTTTTCTGGATAAACCGGATCGTTGGAATCGTGTTGGAAGACTATTGAAAATGATTGCTCGCGATCGTCGCTGCAAAGGGAATTAATTACAGGGGTAAATTATAAACTTTCCACCACTGTATATTTTTAAAACGAAACTGTCAATAATTTACAAATTTATCTATAATATTTGTATATTAGTTTTTAATATTATAATAGTTTTTTAAACTTCTATCTCATATACAAATATATCAAATTAGAAGAAATTTGGAGTTTCTATGCTTGTATACGAGTATATGATTAAATATCTTCGAAACGATAAGGTAAAAAATTATTGAAATTTCTGTTACGCATTGTTAGTTCGATGAAATTTTGTATCGTGTACATATTACATATTACAGGTTTATCTTATATATGGTCAAACGCTCCAACTTCCTTAAATATTTAAGCTGTACGTCTGAATTGTAAAACGTTTTTAAGTCGAGAGAATGCGTGAAAATATGTCGAATAAGATTTCTCTAACGAAATGCACGAGGAAACACTATGCAGAGAAAGAAATGAATATCAATTCAAGACCTATATTCTCTCACATATAAGCTCTCACATATAAGCAAGAATATAATCTTGAATGAAGAAAAAACTTACTCTAACATGAAGAAATTCTATATAATTCCACGAAATATGTATTCATATTATTCAAAAATAATTTTCTGGAATTGAGAGGGAAAATATTGGATAGAAAAAACTAAGAATTATATAATATATCAGTTTAAAAATATATCGTTCTTTCTATCCAATATTTTTTCCACCTCAATTTATAAAAATTATTCTTGAATAATAAGAATATCTGCAACTATCATACCTGCAACTATATAGAATTTCTTCATGTATAAGTTTTATCGTCATATAAGATTATATATTCTTGCTTATACATGAGAATATGAGTCTTGAATTGATACTAATTTTTCTCCGTCTATAGATCGACAAGGATAATTATTCAAGATAAATTTTTAGAGACAATTAAACCTGTTAATTTAAGATCGCGGCATCGATTACTTTCTCCCGATACCGACAATTGCGCCGCAATGAATTCAAGCTGCAGTCGGTAGTTAGCGTGTCTATATCGTCGGGCGATTATTCAGAAGATATCCGAGATAAACGAGACCGGGAGATTTGAAGACGCGCAATTAGGAATGTCGAAATCGTCGCAGAGATTTCGTGTCGAAGTAAGCCGTATTCCAAATATAGTCGCGCGGGTAGCATCATAATGGAAACGCGAATATCGCGGAATTGCGCAACAACAATGTTAATGCGGAATTCAAGCTGTACGGACATCGACTGGAGATGCGAAATTCGCTAAAATAATCCGCTGATTATAAAGCGATCCAACCTAATGCAGATGTAGCGTAATTTAATCACAAACGTTCATATATTAAACGACGACGCGTTTAATTATGCCGCACAAATTTACAACAAATTCTCGTAGGATTTGAATTTTTTTGAATGACTCAACTGAAATCGACGAGCAAAAGTTACGATCATCAGCGCGGGTTGCGCAATTTTTTATACCTGCGCCGTTTCACATCGATGGAATTGATGTTCCCAGCCGTTGTTTATATATTCGCGGAATAATTCGCGCCGATCGGTGGAATATACTATATAACGAGACGTGACAACCTTTTTACATCCTCCTTTTGGGGAGGTCGTGGGTTTTTGCACGAAAACGACGCGTCGCGGATGTGCATTATATATTAACTCCGAATAAATTCTAACCTTGAATCTCTCAATGGGAACCAAAATGTCAAGATCCGGAATGAGGCATCGATCGTGTTGGCGGACCCGCCTCGCTATGGGATTTTGCGAATTCTTGACATTTCGAGATACCAGGCTTCGGTTGTTTGACTTCTGGGTTAACGAGTTACGAACGGCTCCCTTGCGAGAAACGGCTTCACGACTATTGACAACCTTTGGCAGCAAAACAGGTCGTCGCTACTTTTGGAAATTCCCACTTTTTGCGCCCACTCGGAGATGCTTTCGGCGTGATGTTATGGTTATACTTAGAATCGAAACTGGTGAATTTCGACGGAGACTGAAAGTTTCGTTTGATTCTGCAAAATTCTAATGAAATAAACTGGTGCACACACAGAGAAAAAGGTCTCTTTCGATTTAATATTTCTATTTATTAGACTAAAATTTGTTTCACATAAACAATATATACTTATACGAAATATTATTTGTTTCAGTAAAAGTTTTACAATCTCATTCAAGAAAATTGTATTATTTAACAGAAAGAACGCTATTATTTGAAATAATATCTTTTAACCAATAAAAAAATAAAATATTATTTGGTCACAATAAATATGTAAAACGAAACAGATAATTTCTTTATAAGAAAATTGTCTTTCGTTTCAAACAAATTTTTTATTTAAGATAAAGATACATGTTCGTTGAAAAGTTTAACAATCGTACCTATTAATCGGAACATTAGTTTTCTTGGAACATGTCGATGATGAAATTGTTTGCTTGGATGCAATAAAATTTATTAAATTTGAAGAAATCCTTTTCTCAGTGCAGTGATGCAATTGCAAAACCGATCCTGCAAATACACTTTCCGTCATCGTGTCCTGTGTTTTAGGAAGACGCGAATAAAATTGTTTCGGGGGCAAAGAGCCGTGCATAATGCAATAGATGATCATGAAGTCGCGGTATCGTCGAGCGATTTCCTCCCTCCCGCTCTTCCTTTCCCTTGTTGTTGTGTCACTTTCCGTGATCACTTTTCATGTAACCTGGATTACAGCGTTGGTTTCCCGATTTAGACGTATTGAATTTAACCTTTCTCGAAATGCGACCGGCTCGGCTTTAAAACGAAACGTCCAACGTTTCGGCGAGCGCCGCCGCTTGAAATGCTCATCATACGAATATAAAAATCCTGTGCCAGCATTTTGCTTTTAATTACGTGTAATTAACATCCACCTACGTTGCTCGTAGCACTCGGCTATTGCTGTTACGTATCTGTGCTCGCTTTTCTCGCGCTTTACGACTCTTTAACGCGCCGTTTATCAGTAAAACGGTACTTTGCGTTTTTCTGCTTCCATTGCACACCTGCGCCGTGTTGCGTACCGGACGTTGAAATATGGGCGCAAAATAGCGGTGTAGCTTTTTCAACCGTAAAAATGCGACAACGCGATCCGCAAGCACGAGGTGCGAAACGTTGGTTTTTTTTGCGCCGAACCTTTCCGTTTTGCCGCGAACGGCTCCGGCGAAGCCTCGGCCGCGATCGATCGCGGCCTCGCGCCGTAAGAAACGCGCCCCGTGTGTTGCGAGAGCACCTGGAGTGCGCGTAGATCAAAAATTGATTGTTTAAAGACCGCTTTTACGTCCGCGCTTCCGCTCTCGAGCGGGCATACGCGACGGATTTTTGCGCAACGCGTAGCGTAAATGATGACGCGGCGATTTCTTGCTCGCCCGATTATCAACGACGCGAGGAGATTTTCTCATTCGATTTACTTATTACTCACCCTAGAATTCTGCCGGCCTCGGGACTTTTATAGAAGTCACACTTGTGCAGCGGCCTCCTGGGATCGTCGACGTTGCCCCGCTGTCCCGCCGCTTGGCACAGTGCACGATAAAATTGGAATTGAAGAACCCCGGCCACAAAATTTCTGTAAAATATGAGAGAAAGCTAATTAGCTTATATCACGCGTCATTATATCACCGGTTACGTGAAGAAAAATTACTTGCGAATTTCGAAAAATGGCCGTCCATCTCGACGGAAAAAATTAGCGGCTGTATTGTCAGACCAACGAGCGTATTTTCGTATTTGACGTATGTTTGACAGTTTACTTAATTTATTTTACGATATATAATTTGAAAATGTTTCGAATAATCCGACTAAAAAACAACTCGAATAATGCGCTGACAGAGCAAGGAAGTACTAGAGAAGCGTGTCACGGAAATCAGGCAGCATCTGCGAGCGCAAATATGGTAAGAATTTCCGTCAATAATAAAATTACGAAAATAATACATATAAAAAATATGTGAACCGACGTAAATGGCTAAATACTTCAATTGTGGTATCACGCCGCTTATGAAATATTAAGCGATCGGATTATATTTGACTCACTTTTCCGTTTAATTTTCTAAATTTATGGCTAGATCGATTGAGATGGTCGTGACCGCGCTGTCATTTTTATGAACCTTGGAGAGCCGTCAAGGCCAGTGTCAGTAGGGTGTTAGTGAGGTCACGGGGAATCTCGATTTCTATAGAGTGAGTAAAATGACGCGAGACAGTACTCTCGTCTACGTCGTGTAGATGAGCGTAACTGTCGAGTGGGAAGAAAGAGATAGCACTCGGCCATAAGCAGGTAAGTGTGTTGCCGTTTCACCGAGAGGCTCTTCATCGGCAACGACCTTTACGTAATAGCGCCCAGCCGATCCTTCCAAAGACCGCGGCTCGGAATTACGATCCGTTATTCCGACACTTCCACTTTCCACGACCGACAAAACTGCTCTCGCGCGCTCGTCGTTGGAAAATATACGTTGGAAAGCCGTAACGATCACTGAGCGCGTGACGTCTAAATAAACAGGCGTATCACATCGCGATCCACGACGAGTGTCGCCTATGATATCATCGATGGGATTAGCGCAGCATCAAATTAATCTCTCCTAGGCTAAACACGTTTTAGGAAGGAAGGGAAGCCCAGGAATGTACTGGTTATTTCGTTCACGGGGACACGCGAAGAAATGCGACCCGGGATTTCACATGATGTCCGTTTTACAGCCCGAGTGATTCGCACTCATTAACTATGCGCCGTTTACTATCGTTTTTGACTATACTACTCATTATTGCGCGCCGTTTCACGTTTTATTTTCGGTCTCCAGCCGGTATAAAATTATGAGCGACGTGAGAGAACCGGATCTGGATGCCAGCGGGCGAGATCCGGTCGCGCGCGCCGGAACATAAAATTCCGGCATAAATTTAGGTGAAATTCATCAGGTAGGAAGGTGGTCGCCCGGCCACATAGTTCTTACGATTTTTATCGAGAATTCTCTTAGATTGACCTTTCCTGCCTACTCACACCCGACTCGGATGGACGACCGCATTTGCATAGATGTCGCGAAGGAGCTAAAGGCGAAGGCGTCATATTCAAAGAATCGTCCCGCGAGGGAATTATTGAATCGGGTTACACGGTTGGACGGAGCTGAAGTGGGACCTCAATGTCAGATACCGCGATTTGCGGTCGATTGCATCTTGATGCGCTTTTTCAGCTGAAAAAAACTGAAGCAGAGCCTTGGAGCTGGAAGTATCATCGAGACAGACAGAAAGAATCGGCCGGCAAACTTTATGCTGTTGCGGCAAAATTTGTCAGTTACTAAATGAATAGCGAAGCGATTCGTTGAGATTACTAATCGTCATTCCGGATCATTTGATCCGGATCGTTTTGCTGAATGATCTACAAATGATCTTGTAAGAACGAATGAATAAATATAGGAAAACTCTACTCGGTTCTAATAAACGTGTCCTAAGGACAAATGCACTCAGCAGAATACTTTTTATCCTGGCGACAAAACTGTCTTTACTTTAATTGCGAACAATTTGCTGATTTGGTTATACCAACCAGACCTTATCGCTGTCACAACCGAGTATGCAGTGACGGCGCTTTCGCTACAACAGCAACATTATTTTTCTCCGTGTATCTCCAGTCCCTGATTCGTTACTCAACATTAGACCGCACGTCGAGACGCGCGCAGTCGCATATCCCGAGCAAAGTGTAACGATCATTTCCTCTTCTATTCCTCTATCCTGCATTACGAAATACATGTGTGACATACGTCGCTTTCGCCCGCGAAATGCTGACTGTAAACCCAGCGGTATTTCCGCGGGCAGTTCTGATAGATCATTTGCTGGGCGGAGAGATATAACATTACACGGCGTCGCGCAAGGTGATCATATCCTGCGGATAATGCGCCGGTAAACATCGACATACTTGGGCGCGCGCGGGGAAGGAAGAAAACGGGAACTTCCAGCGACGCTAAGAGCAGAATCGTGACGTGGGGCGGCGTGTCCCACACGAAAGGGGGCAACGGTGCACCCACGAGATCGGCGGGAGATAAGCACCACCGGCGTGTCTCCGGGTGTGGGTGTGGTGTATCTCTCTGCGTCTGTTACGTGACGTACACGAGGCGTCGGGTAGCGCGGTGTGTGCGCGCCAAGCCAGGTGAGGACGAAAACGGAACAGTAACGGCGAAAGGGAGAGGATGGACGATGACGTTGATCGAGCGCGATTCGCGTGACCGTTGCAGTCGATCGCCACGAAAAATGACGTATCGAGTCGCGCGTAGCTGGAACGCGCGCGCGCGTTGCGTCAATACAGTACGACCACGACGCAAGTCCAACGGGGAGGACTGTACTAGAAAATGAAAGGAATCTCGCGCGGACGATCACGACGGGATCGTTCGTGAGGCCGACTCATTTTCAGCCACTTTTCCATTTTCATTGGAGACTCGGAAGCTAGACGCAAGGTAAACATACCAATACCTGGACATGCTTATTGTTTTGATCTTTAAATATAAATATTTAAACATATAATACACACACATAACATACACATATATATGTATATATAAATTGTTCTATGTTGAAGATTTAAATATTCACAATTGAAGATCAAAGCAATAAGTGTCCGGAGTTAGGTGTCCAGCCATTGGTACTTTTACCTTACACTGAGCGAACGAACAAGGAACGAACAGCGAATGCAAACTTTCGTTCTTACATTGGTACTTTTTGTACGCCGTAACGAATCCCAACAGAGCATTTCGGGCCGGTTTGCTCATAAAGTGGTTTATCAAGAAAAGTTGCGTTTAGGCGCGAATATACACATTCGTATTACACATTCGTTGTTCGTTCGCTCAGTGTATACTTACCGTGAGACACAAAGTACCGTAAGACACAGCCTTCAAACAAGCACTCTATCGGCACATACGATTAAATCACTCTCTGTAATTGTTATTTATACGTAAGTAGCAAAATGCCGTGTTACTCCGGTTCTTTGCGCGAAAACACATCCTTTCTAAAACTTTTATTTCTCCCTTTCTTTCGTACCACTGGCTGCGTTTAGCAGAAAAAATAGCTCAATGACCGCTTAACAATTATTGATCTTAGCACATTATCTTGGATCTATCAAGAATCTAAAAGAATATTTCAGTCACGGGAAATAATCACCAAGCGCTCACTGAACTTTTTCTCTATTGAATGCGGCTATTACTTTCTTCCCTTTTGTATTTCATACCAACGCTCTTAGGGAGACATTCCCTAGAGCAATGACAAACGCATCAATCAATCAATCAATCAATCAGTCCTAAAATCCCCGTTTCTCTCACGTTAGGTGAGCAGCGACTTGTCTGACGGTCGAGAACTAGAAATTGCAGTTGATCGATCGGTATTTTCCCTTGTGAACAACGACTCCGACCATGACACCGAGATATTCTCGCTCGAGTGTGATACGAACTTGCGACTGCGACCGAGGAGGCACACGTGCGCAGCGAGAAGAAAGTTGGAGAAGAATTCTTCGGCGCGATCAGCCATCACCGCGAGATATTCGGGAGCGGTAGGGTGGAAAGCGGAAAATTTACGACGCGGAGGAACACGTGTTGGCCGACGTAACGTTGGAATGCGAATTACGCATTCTCGTAGGAGGACACGAAATTGTAGGGAAAGGGTAGGGAATTAGTGTAATCTGCCGACGGAGAAACTAGGTTGGCGCATGTCGATGCTCGGTGCGCGCGCGCGTCTACTTCGCCCACGGCTCGCGTATAATTCATCGTAGACTGGTATTAAAAAAAAAAAGAAAGAAGAGGAAAAGAAGAAGGTAAAAGCGAGAGAATTGTTAACGAGTCTTCCCACGGGAAGGATTATAGATTTTCATTCGCAGTCATTCTCTGTATATAGGACGAGGCGGCGGCCGCGTGTGTAGGATTTAATAACACAAAATGCCGGGTTTCGTAAAGCGCGTCATCCTCGATTGCGTTTCAGCGATTGCGTTCCAGCCCCCGGAAAGGTTTCGCCGACTTCCGTTCCACTGACGAGGCGTTTCTACTTCAAGGAACTACGACACGTGGTGTCCGTACGACGTAAGCTCGCGGATGCACTTCAAACTGATCCCTTTCCGGAGAGAATGACATCGAGCTGTCTAGCCGGAGGGATCTAGCCGAGATCGACGACGGAAAACAATTGACAATTGAAGCCCTCTCGAGCTCGAACACCTCTGTGGATTCTCATTTGACTTCGGTCGACGCGAATAAATCCGTGACGAGAGCATATTCTCCGGGGCGACCTGCGCCAACCACACGGTGACAGTCGCCGACTAGTTGATGCGTGATGTACGCCGCGGATTACCGGCGACGGCTGTAAGAGAGAGACCGGTCGAGGAGAGATACGTTCGCCTGGCTGCGGACTCTCGTGAAACTTTACGTGCGCGAGGAGACGAGTTTTCACGTACTGCCTCGATCCGGGTGCCCGCCGATCCGAACGGGAACGGCACGCGAATACAATCGACGTCTCGACGCCGGCAGCGCTCCGGACGCTAAGGGACGTGGCGACGGCCAATCGGTATGTCCGTCGTTCTCCAGAGAAAGTATCGCATAGTGGCCGAAGCGCAGTCAAGGTGCCGGCGAAGATACGTGAGAAAAAAAAGGCGAGACATCGCGGGCGCGAGCACGAGGAAGAGAACGAGGCCCGTGCCGTGAGTCGAAGAAGGAGAGGGACGTTTCTGCGACACGTGCGTGTGTGTGGGGAGGGTGAGGAGGGGGGAGGTGGGGCGTCTGTCCCAAAGGGGAGTGGTGGCCGCTCGGACGGTGGGACCGTCGTCGTCGTCGTAGCTGAACAAAGAGGTGTAACGTGGGGGTATACGACTTGGGGCCCCGGACCGTCGGGCCCCGGGTGGCGAAGGCGAAAGTGTGCCGCGTATATAAGGCCAGGAACCGACGGCAATCAGCATCCAGTTCACTCCTGGACGCACCCGGAACATCGCAAGAGCAAAAATGAGAATCCTGGTACGTCCTCAATAGAGGCTGTCGAGCGATACCGCTCGATACTGCCTGGCTTACCGTGTCGATGGCGAACACGAATCGGTCGGGGACGATCGTTCGAGATACGTGCGCCGGGAAGACCGCTCGGGTAGATAACCGGACGACGAGTGAACGAGTCTAGCCGGGGAGTCTCAGGATTAGCCGGGGTGTGAGTCCGAGGGAGATTGAGCGCGTGTCTTCGTCGCGGTAGATTCGCCGGTTTAGCGTTTAGAGAAATCCGCGAACGCAGCTCGTTCGATCGCGGAGTGTTCCTCCACACGGACGTTCGGTAGTTCGCCGAGCATCGCGGTCCTACGAATTAGACATTTTTGCCGCAGTGGATTCTCGTTAGAACTCGAGGGAGCAGCCGTTGCATCGTGCGGTGATGTACTTGTGTGCTCAAACTTGTAGGTCAGAGATCAATTCTTTAATCGGGACGCGTGAATAGATGGCCGTCCGTGCCGATCCAAGATCGGCATTCCTATCAGATCCTCGCGTATCGCCGATATATCAGAGATATCGGGGATAATGTAATGCGTATATCAGTAGAAAGGCTCAGCCTTGCGGATTTAACATTATTTTCCACCGGTTCCTCAATACGCGTGTCCTTGGCTCGTATTTTCTTCGTTAAGTATTTAGAATGCACAAACGAGCCGTGAACCGTTATTACGTATGTCACGCGTAACGACGAATGACATTGCGCATTTTTTTTCAGGTTTACGTGGCAGTCGCCGCCCTTGTGGTTGCGACAGCATGGTCGGAGGAGGCGAAAGCGAGCGAGAAGTCGGTGGAGGCGAAGTCCGGAATCGAGAAGAAGCAGGAGAAGCGCGGTCTGCTCGGCCTTGGCTACGGCTACAGCTATGACGGCGGATACGGCATCGGATCCGGCGGGCACGTCGGTCTCGATGTGGGCCACATCCACGGATACGGTGGATACGGTGGATACGGTGGATACGGTGGATACGGCGGACTCGGATACATCGACGGCGGCCATCATCATCACGATCACTTGAAGACCCTGACCGTGGTGAAGAGCGTTCCCGTACCGTACCCCGTGGAGAAACACGTACCCTACCCGGTAGAGAAACCCGTACCGGTCCCGGTCAAAGTGCCCGTACCGCAGCCGTACCCAGTTGAGAAGCGTGTGCCTTACCCGGTCAAGGTTCTCGTAAAGGTGCCCGTTCACGTGCCCCAGCCGTACCCAGTAGAGAAGAAGGTACCCTACCCAGTGCACGTACCCGTCGACCGTCCCGTCCCAGTCAAGGTCTTCGTGCCGCAGCCTTATCCCGTAGAGAAGCACATCCACGTTCCCGTCAAAGTACCAGTGCCGCAGCCGTACCCCGTTGAGAAACCAGTTCCGGTACCGGTGAAAGTACCAGTCCACGTACCTCAGCCATACCCAGTTGAGAAGTTGGTGCCGTACCCCGTCAAAGTCCCAGTCGACCGTCCCATCCACGTGCCCGTGCCCAAGCCCTACCCCGTGCACATTGAGAAGCCCGTACCTTACCCAGTCGAGAAGCCAGTGCCCTACCCCGTGAAGGTCCCAGTTGACAGGCCATACCCCGTCCACATCGAGAAGCCCGTGCCAGTACCCGTGAAGGTACCAGTGCCGCAGCCGTACCCAGTCGAGAAGCCGGTGCCGTACCCAGTCGAGAAGCCCGTGCCGGTGGCAGTCAAGATCCCCGTGGACAGGCCATACCCCGTCCCAGTCGAGAAGCCTGTGCCCTACCCGGTCGAGAAGCCTGTACCATACCCAATTAAAGTGCCGGTAGCTGTGCCCGTGCACCATGAGCACCATGTTAAAGTGCCGATCACTATACCCGTGCACCATGGACATGATATTCATGAGCATGCGCACGGCGGCTACATCGACGGTGGATACAGCGCCGGCGGATACAGCGCCGGCGGATACAGCGGCGGATACGGCGGCGGATACGGCGGCGGATACGGCGGCGGATACGGCGGTGGATACGACGGCGGATACGACGGTGGCTACGCCGGTCATCATCATCATCATTAATGCCACAACCCCGACTGGTTCTTCGTCGTCGAGAGAAAACGAAAGTCCACCGCGATGACGAACAACCACGGTCGCCGAGGACCTTGTCGATATACTCTTAGGACACGAGGAACCGATTCGAAAACGTTGTCGTGCAGCGCCACGAGGATACCCGCCACTTAGTACCTGGATCGGATCGGGGACGATCTCCGGTAGACGATCGCGTACCGGACGTCCGTACCTCGATCACCGATCGCAACGAGGGCGCGGCACGGCGACGTGTGCCACCAGTTAGGAAGAACGAATGATCAGTAGGGATGTATTTGTCTTTAGCGATCTTCGCTCGAGAACAACTCGCTTGTCTTACTTTTATACCGATATTAGCAAAGTATGTATTTTTTTACAGAAAATGAAATAAATATTAATGTAAAGTAGTTACATCGCTGTGTGTTTCGCGATTCGATACACGTTCCTTCCCACGTATTTCCCGTCTTGAAAGCACGTGACTATCGGAGGAAATAGATTTCCGACGAGGTAAACGAATCTTTCTTTAGTACGTCGGCGACAATCGGGCCGGATGAAAACACATAAGAAATGCGCGCGTTGCTGAGACGAATGCCCAAGTGAAAAAATCTCAGATATAAGAACATATTGCGTAACGATGAGAATGTGCACGCGTTATGAAGTAGAAAAAGAATGTTTTATGTCAGGAGATTAGCCATGTAAATGAAAGGCAACTTTAGCATACTTCTAAAAATATGTAATGCGTTAATGTAATCGTCGAAAAAGCGACACCACTAAGGAACGCTCCCGAGAGAAATGTCAACTTCTCATAGAATATCTCAGGTCGTTCTTCGTTACGCGTCTCTTGTTATTGGTAAATGTCATTCCATTCTATTGGCAACGCGAAACCGAATGATATGTCGTCGACCCAGTTTCCGCCGTGTCTTTGCCAAATCGATAACCTTCATCGTACCGTCGCGCGTTCAGTTCGTCGGAATTTTTTTTCGAAATACCCGCACGGCCCGGGAGACGTTACCGCGTCGCTTATATGAATTTATCAGTAACTTTGAAGAAGGGCGAAATCAAAAATTGATCCAACTTGTGCGTCACTATGGAACCTTGAAGGAAGAGCGCATGCATTGCTGCAACACGATGCACATTCAATATTTAATTAAATTCGTTATATATAGTTTGACCTTTACACTATCCTGCGCTTACATTTCCCCGGGGAACATCAAAGTTCGATCGAGCTCTTATAGCTCCCGTTCTTTCGTTCACCGGGGAATTAACGGCTTAATTTAATTGATATAATGAAGCTAGGCAAATAAGGATACCTAAAGTTAACGCAACGAAGCCTTTCGGTGAATCCGATAATAAATAAGGCGAAACATCGTTCACGTGCGTGATGAACTTTCCATGTAGATTTTAACTAACATCGACACCGTGACTTTCTTGATCAAACTTCGGGAATTATCGCGTGAAATTTCTTACGTAAACACCCCGCAATGCGCGGGAAAACCCACGCGACGACGGTGGATTATAATTCGTTTTATCTGACTTTTATTGTTGATTCCACTTGTGCCTCATCGTTCACGAGTCTTGAGAACTGTTATTTCGTGCAAGTCCGAGAGAAAGACGAGCTTTAAGGTGAGAGAAAAAAACTGCAAGGTGCAAAGAGAAAGGAGCGTCGCGGAAGGCGCTTTATCTTCGTTCCGCTACATCGATTTATAACGAGCGGCTGGTCGGAGGCGCGATGAGAAAACACGAAGGGCGCACGAGGCAGTTGATCTTCGATCAACTTCATTATTCCGACCTTCGTGACCCAATCTGACGTTTCGTTGCACGGCTCCCCGGCGTTCATCGCGACGTCCGGAGAAGAGAAGTCGATGCATCCGCGACTAATTTCTGCACGACCCACTTCGGCCTCCGAACGAGCTGGCTTTGCCACTTGACTCACGAGCGACTTACGTGCTCGTCCACGGAGGGAACGGTTATGCAATCGCACCATTAGCGCACGCGACGCCGAGGCTGAAAGTAAGAGTCTCCCCTTCGCCTCGCTGTCGCGCCGAGAAAGACAGTGCCGAGAAGTCTACTTCCCCTTTCGTTCATTTTCCAGACCCGGCGAGTCCTTTCGCTTCCTTCATATCCCGCCGCACCTCTTCACCTTGGCTCGCGTGGCTGTCCCTTTTAAGACAATTGCGCGGAACGTTATTTCGTCCTTTTTAGAAAAAGGAAACAAAATCAATGAACAACAAGTCATATCGCGACGGTCTTAAAATTGCGACCGTCGGGAAGAAAAAGATGCGAAAAATGGCTTGAAGATGTCATTACTTTCGTAGCTTTTAAATGATTTAATATCCAGAAAATAAAGAAGAACCTTCTTCACATAAATAAGTAATAATCTTGTTTTTCATATAAATTAGAGAACATTTTATTTTCAACGACATTTAACTTGACATTTAATTATCAAGATAGAAAATTGGATTCTTGACCACTGATCACTGTGATATTTAAGACGGGAGAAAGTATACGGGAGATTTCGTATTTTATTATGCGTTAAAGTATTTCAAGAAATTATGTGCCGCTGAGAAGAAAAATTGTATTAATCAAGCTAATAATTTTCGTGATTGTCGCCATCATTATGTTTACGCCTTCAAGCTCGGTAATACTGTTGTGAAATTTCCTATCGCCTAATTGCTTTCGGTGAGAGGATTTCAAGCCAGTTATTTGACATTTCGTGTGATATTCATCTCATTTTTGAAGCGGGCTGTCTACGCATGTTAATCAAGTCACATGATGCAATCGAAAGCAAGAGAGTAGTTTCCATTTCGAGGTGTCCTCAATTTGTGAATAAATTGGTAAAGCCAATCGTTAAATTACCGCTACCAATGGACCTCAACTGTATGTGTAGTTCTTTTTTAATTGAAAATCTGGCAGCGTTTATTTATTCAATTATTTAAGTTAAATATTTTTCATTTAAGTAATTTTCATTTGAACGTTATTAATCAACTTCTCAATAGCGTCTTGCATTGATCGTCTTGAAGGCCGGCTGCGAAGAAGCGGCGTTTCTCTCAACTGCTGCGAGTGACGGTAACCGGTAAGGTAGCTTGTTACTTTCGCGTTGGCTGATATAATAAAGACATTTTTCGAACTCTAGAAATTCCGAGCAAATTGTCCAAATATATTTCTTAATAACGTTTCATGCAACTTGTGTGAGATCTAATTTTCTCGAAATTAATAAAACGCCGTAAATAAATTTTTTACATAATGACAAAATTATATTTTTTATAAATTACTGTCAATATATGGACAATACTTTTGTTGAATTATTATAATTTTGAAACGTACAGGATATGTATCCTTATTACGAATGTTTAGATACAGTTGTTATCTGGAAGTTTCTATCATCTGCGGATACCACATTAACGCGCTTCGTAAAACTTATCTGGGGCATGTATCGTGAGAAACGGTATCGACTGCAGTTATTGCAGGGGCAGTTGATGCTTAAGCAGCGGCTCGCAGCGGTTCGGGATTAATAGCCACTAAATTACACATTACATTGTGAGAACGTGATCTGTGATAAGCGAAAGTAATGACGCGAACATATTCACTTCATGCTCTCGGTGATTGTGCGTTTGACGTTTGCATAGGGGCGATTTATCACAATTGCCTCATAGCGAATGATAATTTGTTGTAATTTTATATCTGGGGTACTAAACCGGGGTTATCGGAAATCACAGTGCGGTTTGAAACGTATCAATTCGTCGTTCGCAAAATAAACACGTCTACATGCGCATCTTTCACAATAATCGTAAATGAGATCTGAAATGAATTGTGAACGATTACATATTCATTATTCCAGTACACAATAAAAAATGTAAGTACACAATATAAAATGAAACATTGCTCAGAATCTTCCAATAAAGATTCGCGATACGTTCAATTAGGAACTGCCTAAGCGGAATAGGAACGCACGCGAGTGACGTCGAATTAATTAGCGCTCGGATATTATGCACGATGTAAGTTGACGTTAATCGTTACCAGCCATCATTATCATTAGTTAGTGTCCTGATATCAATTTTAAGCAGGCCACGGGGAGACATAATGAGAAGGTTAAATAATAGATATAAATTAGAGCGAAGAATGTAGCTTCCTATCCTGATCAGAAGCGTGCTTATCTACGCTATCTTACGCGCGCTAGAAAGTGCTTAATAACGCGACGATCTCGACAGTGAAGGCAAACACCTATATATTAGAGATGCAGGAAAGTTTATTGCGCGTATGAACACGCAGCCGTTATTTAGAAGACGCTAATTACGGAGGCTAGTTCACGCACAAAGTTTATTAGCCTCATACCCCGCGATGATATCGGGTTTATTAATAACGCCTTGATTCATCTGGATATCCACACTCTTGCATTCAATTTGAAGTAAATTGTTATCTCGCTATCTTGCGGTCTATCGGCACCTCTCGAAAAATTGCGAAGTCGAACGCGTGCGATAACTCGGATTGAAAGGCAACAGGTCGAAATAAGTATTATATAATTAGCCGCGCGAGATTGATCCCACGACTGATACTGTCGTCGTACATGCGCGTAGAACTGGGAAATTATCACAGAGCCGTATCCAATTTGTCGCGATTTCAAGATTGCCCGGTTAGTGCCGTATTTAGTGGCGCGTCAAGGGAGCTACTGGTTAATTTAGTATTTATCAAGCAAAATCACGTTCATATATTAATTCTTATCGAAGCTAATTCTTATCAAACTCATTTCACCTTAAAACTCCCTTTATTCCCTCGGAATAACTTTTGACCCAGGCGTTGAATTATTGTCGAGCTTTCGGTCTCACTTTTAAACGCAGTGTAAACAAATTTGCAACTTTCATTTCTCCATTACCCTACGGGCAACGCATCCTTAAGAAGCTTATTCCAAGCAGGTAAGGCGGGCGGACGCAGCGATAAATCAATGCAACAATCTCGGTATCCATCTCAGCGCGCGAAGAGCGCATCACTCTTCGTGTTCACCGACCGATGAATCTCACGTTTACGTCATAATCTAGATATCCGGAAGCGTGCGAGGCACCTTCGGAGAGCGCACGTCGCGTTTCCGCTCTGGACTTCCTCGTTCGAGACCAACCGCGAGGCATTCTCTCGCGCGGGAGCGCACCTCGAGCCTTAATGACAGTGGCGCGAAAAGCGTCGAATGTTCGCGTAAAATGTTAACAGGCCATTTGCGAGCGTGACTTCTTTCGCGCCGCGTTTCTCCTTTCGGTTCATCCGTCGCACGGGAGGACCGGCGATAAACTCTCTCCGCGTTCGGCGATCTATCGCGCGAAAAGCCGCGAGCATTGTTCACGAGATCGCGGGTAACGACGTGTGGATCGTGCCGGCTAATTAAGACAGCAATATAGCTGAGCGTTAAACGCCCGGCACGCGAGAGCCCTCTGATAGGACGATGGAGATCGGTGATCCACGGGCAGCTTAAAGATCGCGTGCACGTCGTGAGATTCATGCAAGAGGACGTGGAACAATGCGAGTATAATTTTCTCCTCGCGACGCAGAACACTCGCGTTACGTTTTAATTCCGCCGACATGTGCGATCGCATTTCGGAATGCATTTAACCGCGAATTTGTCGTGCGGCTTATCGGCGGTTATCGCTTCATCTCTCTCTCTCTCACTTCATCTTTCCATTCCATCTCTCTCACTCTGTCGTTCTCGTGCGTGTGAAAGGCGTTCGCCGTATATTTGTGATACCTACACGCGAGACTGGATAAGAGATTATTATCGCGAATAACGTTTTTAATCGTACTGCGCTCTCCACTCCGGTGGACTGACATGCGACTCGATAAGAAAGGAGCTGTCTACGTGCGAAAAAAATATTATATTATTTATATAATTCCTATAAATTTATATAATTTCGTTATTTATTTCGTAGGTTTACATAATTTTGTTAACATTAATGCTGGATAACTCGCGCGCATATCGATCTCGAGGAAAGGTAATCCCGTCATTGTGTAACTCGTAATTGTATATTGACGGAGACGTTTATGTAATTTGAAATCAATCGACGTGTGTGTTTGTGTATGAGTGTGTATGTATGTATGTGTGTGCGTACGTTTGCTACGTTGGCGGAACTCTCTTCTCTTCCTTAACGCGCTCATCGTGAGATACGTCGATCGTGATTTTTGAGAAAACGTCGAAAGATAAAGACAGCACCCCCCAGCGATCTCCGTAATTGGTTACTTCAGTCTCAGCACGTGAGTTTCCGCAATCGCATCAACGTGAAAAGGTCTTTGACACTTTTCACTTTCTGCTTACGACGTTATCTCGTCGAAGCGGCGATGCGTAGCGGCGAAGTCCAGTTTACTAGATTTAGGTTCGCGCTCACGTTTTCAAATGACCGGTTATGTTTCCGGTAAAGTAAAGGCACTGTTGTACGCGAGCAATACGAAGCCATCAGCGGTGAATCGTCCTTACTACAAATCATTTAAGCTACTTGTAGAAATTTCCGAAGGGACGAGTCGTTTCTCCGCGCAACGAATTCAAACGACGAACGTTCAACTTCCCCCAATTTCGATCTCTGGGGTTTTTGGTTTTTTGTTTTTTTCTGTTTTTCAACGATATTATATTCGATAGTAAATACGTCGGTGTTGCTTCGCGCGCGTGTGTCTCCTCTTACTTCAAGATCATGATCGTGAGAATCGGCTCGAGGGAATGTCAACATTCCATAAAAGAAGCGAGTGGTTCTCGCCTCCGGAAGAATAAGTGCCACTCTCTTTACGGGCATATCCATCGGAGCCGGCGTGTACCTGACGTTTTTCCAGCTGACGTTTGTTGTTTCCAAAGGGACAGTTTCACTCTTGTCGAGTATAACGAAACGCGAAAGTGACCATCCCCTCTTGAACAAGGCATCGCATGCCCAGCCTCCGGAGCAGTAACGCCCGTGGAGGCCGCATATATAAGATGGTAAAAGTATGCGGCTGATCTATTTACTTCTAAGTCGAGCCAGATGCTCAAGAATTTTTCCCGCAGATCGTTCGATTATTTCGCTCAGGATGGGACACGGGGTACGTTCTTACGTTTATTGGATACGTTTGTTGGATCCAGTAGTGTGAACAAGTGTTAGCAATCGAACTGTGCAATTGTGTCGAACTATTCTCCCGCATGGTGCATGTTAGTTATATATATATACACTATAGAGATTACTACTCTATATATAATATAGAGATTTCTCTTTTATACGTGAATTTTCCGTGAATCTGTGTATTATTTTTATAAAAAGAAGTATCATCATGTTACGTTCGTAAAAGAAAGACATAAAATGAGAAAAAGGAAGGAATCTTTTGAAACTATTTTTTTCACCTCAGTTCGATTTTATGAAAATTTTTTAACGCACAGTTGTGTGTATGCGAAAGTGAAATTATATTTGGAATAATATCTGCGTTACAGAATTATAGAATCATTAATTTCTAGGGAGAATGTATGACATTGCTTGGATATTATCACTTGCAGGGACTGACGATGCTCTCTTTATCACTCTTCGTGGTCATGGTGACGAGTTTACCGATTGGAAACAACTATAACAGGCGCGTATACTCGTACAATTATCTCCCAGCGGCGCGATACGTTCATCGAATTGTGCCCTCGCAAATAAGAATGAACCGAGCCAATCATATCAGAGAGGGCAATTTTCACCTGAGCAATATGAACCGACGCAGGATCGAGCAAAATGAGTCCGTGGATAATCATGGTAAATATTGATTGAGGGCACATTCTTACATTTACATTTACATCTTATGCAATTATTTCTTATGCAAAATCTCACGTTTTACCATTTCCACTACCGTTGAGATTTGACGAATACAAAAGCAGTAAATATATAACGTCGAGAACATTTTATTAAAACATTAGATAATAATAATTTAATGATCTACTTGTTCTATTTGTGCGAATTAATGCAATTAGTATTTACTGATATTATGAAAGTTGATTTCAGACGAAGCCACAATTTACTGGAGCGATCCTAATCATTTTAGTTTCAGAATCTCACATCATGCATTTTGAAGACGGGCATGGAGCAGAAGGTGGATACGAATCGCAGGAGAGTTTCGATGATGGGTCCAGTGACGGAGGGAGCAATGAACACAATAATCAAGTATTAGGTCATCACGTGCACGAGGATGTACATAAAACGGTGACGATCATAAAGAAAGTCGCGGTACCCTATCCGGTGGAAAAGACTATTCGATATCCCGTAGTAAAGAAGATACCGTATCCGGTTAAAGTGCCGGTCCCGCAGCCATATGCGGTTGAGAAGAAAATACATTATCCCGTGAAAGTGGTCGTCAAGGTCCCCGTCAAAATCCCGCGACCGGTACCGGTCATCAAAGAGGTCCCATACCCGGTTAAAATACCAGTAGACCGCCCTGTACCGGTCAAGGTGTACGTGCCGGAGCCATACCCCGTGGAGAAGAAGGTACATTACGAGGTAAAAGTTCCGGTACCGGATCCGTTCCCCATAGAACGAAAAATACCGGTACCTGTGAAGGTGCCGGTGCACGTACCGCAGCCTTATCCGGTCGAGAAAATCGTCCATTACCCTGTGAAGATTACAGTAGACAAACCGATACCCGTCCCGGTGCCGAAACCGTATCCGGTGCCGGTCACAAAGCCAGTACCATACCCGGTCGAGAAGCCGGTTCCAGTTCCCGTTAAGGTGGAGGTAGAAAGGCCAATCCCGGTCCCGGTGGACAAGCCGGTACCGGTCAAAGTGACGGTTCCGGTACCGGCGCCATACCCGGTTGAAAAAACCGTTCCGTATTCCGTGGAGAAATTTGTTCCTGTGCCGATAAAGATACCGGTAGAGAGGCCTGTACCGGTTCACGTGAGCAAGCCGGTCGCGTATCACATCGAGAAACACGTCCCTTATCCGGTTAAAATACCGGTCGCGGTACCAATAGAAGAACACGGGGAGCATAATGTAGAGCATGTCGAACATGAAGAATACGAGCATCCGTGAACATGGTTTGTGCGATTAGCTGACAATGGAATTACATAGGAATAGCTGATAGAGGCTTTGTACTTCAATATATTCTTCCGAATCGGTTCGAAGATGCGCGATCGATCGAGGAAAGTCTGTATCATAAATCCTAATTGTACGTTTAGCTCTAGATAGAATCGTCTGATTCTCAAGCCAAAGTAATTATGTACGAGACTCTCATGCACGATAAATAAAATGTTTGAATCGGACGAGCAAATTTAACGCTAGATATACGATTAGAATACAGCTCTTAGAATTTATAAGCAGGATTTTGATATAAGATATATCGTAACATATTTAAGCATTTGTTACACTGACCCTTTCCGAGGGATATTTATTTACTTTGTATGTATATTTGTTTTATACGATTTTACGCGAAAATTACACATAACGTTATCATTGCAATTGTTTACCGTTACTGTACCCTATATCTCGATGGAGTGATTTTTATTGCGATATAGTGATAGTGATCACAATTTATAGATCGCGACATTATGTAGATGAGCGACCATAGTTTAATAAAATTACTTCCAATCAAACCCAATCACTACACCAGCAGTATTTTGATATTATCCCTGTAATTTAGTGAAACTCAATATTATTGGTCGATCCGACCTTTTTTTATTCGCTATCAATTAGCAGCTCGCCAGTGATATTATTGGTTGATCCAACTTTTTTTTATTTGCTATCAATTAGCAGCTCGCCAGTGATTAAAAGGTGTAAAAAAAGATTTATTAATGAAATAAATTGCCGGAATCCAGTCGAATCTGTATTGACAATTAATTTCTGGCGGCGAACGATCGATACGCATCGCTCTAGTCGATCGGTGCGTCGCTTTTGCTGTCGCTACTTCAATTCTAGTCACGTTCACTTTCGCCGCGTCGTAATTACACCGGGACAAGATGGACATGTTATAATTGATTTGCACAAAACAACAGCCGGTCGGCGACATTGACCGTAATTATGATTACGGAATGTCTGTTGCTGTAAGAAGCAATCGATAGCGTAAGTATTTGTGTATGAAGTATCATACTAGTAAGTCATCAGTGACTAGTAAGTCATCGTCAAGTTCAAATTACGAGAGGGATGAATTGACTATTTTCTACTTGGGACAGTCAGCAACTCCTTCTATTTTGTAAGTTGCAAACATGCAAAAGTGTATACGGAGGATATTCTGGAAAGTAAAACTTTCTTAAATACATATTAAACGCGTATGATGATACGCAATGATACGCGTATTTTAAATTACCCTTTCAACTTTCCATTAATATTCGTCTAATTTTAAAGTAGAAATATAAGTTATGATGACAAGCGCGATAAATTCCAAGTATGTAACTATAAATGCGTAAAAATCAATCTGAGCGGAAATGAATGACAATTATGAACGTATTATGTCACCTGGAGAAATGATATCGCTTGTTGCATAAAAACAAAAATTTATATTTTCTATTATTTCACGAACCGGAATACACCTATAACTGTCGTTTGCCTTTCGCCTCGATCACCGGGTATATTATTAATTCGTCGATGCATAATGGACAAGTACATTTCTCTCCGAATGTCGTATATCTCGACTCTTTAGTGAAACACTTCCAGGTTTTGGATACAGACGCTGCTAATGTACTTGCCTACGAGGCAATTACGGGCACGTCGCTCTTATATCACTTTATGCTTTTCTTTACGGCGAGTGCAAACTTTACGAAATAAATGATTATATAGTTCACGTAATAAGTAGCCAAAGAGTGGTGTGTGTTACGATTTCACTTGGATTCTTCCGTGTTGTAAGGATATTACCAGGCCCGATTTGCCCATATACATACTCGAGGCATTATATTATTATTAAGATTACGACAAACGACGAAGAATTGCAGAGCGCGACTTAGGTTATTTCATGCTTCTTTTTTTCCTGCCGTTCGCGCGGAAGAAGCGAAAGCAACGAAACGGACAGTGCTCGGAATCGGAGCTGCTGATGGCCAGACGACGGAAGGTTTTTTCCCGATCGTGTCTCCGGGAAATATCCGAAGAAAGTTTCGAGGAGCATATAAATATACGGTTAAGTGGTTTACAACCGCTGCCAAAGCGGGAAAGTTCTGTGCAACTTCAACAAGGCAAGACATGTGGAAAGCACTTTTACACCGGTTTCGGTGGTTTCACTAGTGTTACTGATCCGAGAAATTCGATCGAATTATTCAATTTGTTGTAGAAGAAAGCGGCGGTCGTAAAGCACATATCAACACACGATATTTGTTTGAAACGGGAAACTCTTATAATTTTTTATCAACATATAATAAAATTAATACGATGTTTGAACGATTCATTCAATAGTTTTTGTAGTTATTGCTGAAGTAATATAACGGTGATTTAATGCATGGAATGGCAATGTCCAAGTTAATGTGCAAGGTGTTTGTTTAAATTATGTAATCCCAATAAACTTTTTTAATGCTCTCTATTGAAGCTTAATCTTTATAGCTTAACCTCTTTATCTAGATCTATCTATAAATTCGCAACTTTTCATGTGCCGAATGTTAATGAAAGATCAGAGAAACTATCGTCGCCGGAAATATAGCTCGGAGAAAGATAAACAAAAATATCAGAAAATTATTGGTTACTGGAAAATGTGACCGAATATTCCAGGGAAGGCAAAAACTTCCTGGCGGTGCAAGGATCGGCTTGATTTTACGATTCGGCATAGAAAGTACCTGTCCGCTTTCATCGGTCAATCGTAAACGACTACTTTTCCGACATCTTTTTCGCATAGATTAATGAACTAAGACGCGGCAGTAAGTGGTGACGAATGTATCCCTGTCATATGTTAAATAATCTGTCTTTGTAAAAAGACTTTTCAAAAGATAATCTCGTCTTTATATCAATATAAAAAATTGCAAATATGTTGTTCAGGTAAACTATTATGGACACATCTTTTTAATATTTCTCTTGACAATAAATTTCTTACCACAATAATTTTGTCGTAAATAAAATATTTCTAAATAAACCTCTTCACGTAAACTATAAGGAGTTATAATATTAAAAGAACGCAATATAAATGAAACATATTAGAAATAACCCGTATTAGGAGCTGGGCGTATGATAAAAAGCTTCAAAGGAACCTTTATGCTTCTTTGAAAGGGACGGAATATGATTTGAACTGCTTATGTGTTCCGCATCATACTATGGCCTTAATGTAAGTAGCATAGGTGTTCATCGAGCGGCGTTCACGCTACGCCGCAAAACAATGATGATCGTTTAAGCGTGGATAATTGTCACGAATAAGGTATTGCAAGGCTATAAAGGCCCAGCTGGTTAAACTGGCGAAAGTCGTCCACGGTGTATAAATAATAGTGGGATACCTTTCCGTTTGGATTCAGTATAGATCGATCTATCGTCTTGATCACAAAGGCATCGTGATGGGACAGCAGGTATTTTGAATTCTGTATTTCTCACAAATATCTCTCACAAATTCGATATATCGAATCATTTCACTTAATTATACAAAATTTAATTATTTTACGCAAATGAAGGTATCCCTGAATTGAAGATCAAAAGTTAATTCAGTAACGATTCAAATTAAAGAATTCCCCTCCCATAAAGAGAAAATATTATGCTATTCGATTAAAAATCTTTCAATATTGTAATCTGATATGAAAAATATCTACTTTAGTGACTGCACGATTGAAAATATTTGTTATTAAATGTCTTCATAGATTTAATTTACAGAATTATCCACTTTTATATAACATGTGCGTATTCTTTTAAACAGCAGCAGTACCTAATACTATTTCTATGTCTCGGGATTGCTCTCACATCGCCAGCGAGTCGTAGAGAAGAGCTCGAGAAGGCGGCGGAGCTTGCCGTGGAGAAATCAGCCGAAAAAGCCGCCGAGAGAGCAGTGGAGAAGGCCCTCGACAGCGGAAACACCACCACGGAATCCAAGATTGTCCGCGAATCTTATTCAAACGTTAAAAAGGAGCCGCCTAAGGAGAAAAAGGTGCACGACGATAGCAAATACGAGTCGGTGGAAGGTGAAGTGGAGCAAGAGGAAGACATCGACAACTGGAGCACGTATACTCGGGACTTGAGGTTTTATCCTCAGGACTTGAGGGGTAGAAGTTTTCGCGCGTGGTCGAGCAAGCTCGACTTCCAAGATATGTCAGACATCTGGAGAAGATTTCCGAGAAGCGAGTGGTCCCATGAGAACACCAGCTGGGACAAGCCAAGGAATAAGGTTGTGACTATAGAGAAGAGAGTGCCGGTGCCCGTAACGGTCGAGAAGAAGATTCCGTTCCCGGTTTACAAGCACATACCGTATGAAGTCAAGATACCCGTGCCGCAGCCGTACACGGTGGAGAAGAGGGTACCGTATCCAGTAAAGGTTTACGTGAATGTGCCGGTCGAGATACCGGAGCCTTACCACGTTGAGAAGCAGGTTCCTTACGAAGTCAAGGTTGACAACCCCGTGCCGTACAAGGTCGAGGTGCCGGTACCGCAGCCGTATACGATCGAAAGGAGAGTTCCAATCGAAGTAAAAGTGCCAGTACCACAGCCGTACACCGTCGACAAACCGGTGCCCTACGAAGTCAAGGTACCGGTCAAGGTACCGACGCCGTATGAAGTCGAGAAAAAAGTAGCAGTGCCTGTGAAGGTGACGGTCGACCGGCCGTATCCGGTCCCGGTGCCTAAACCTTACCCGGTGGAGGTTGTTAAACCGTATCCAGTCGAAGTGCCCAAGCCGTACCCCGTAAAAATTAAAGTACCTGTAGACAAACCGTATCCGGTGCCGGTAGAGAGGCCGGTTCCGGTACCTGTTAAAGTGCCAGATCCTCAACCGTACACCGTGGAGAAGCGCGTGCCAGTAGAAGTGGTGAAACCGTACTCCGTTCCGGTTAAAGTGCCGGTGGACAAGCCGTACGAGATATACGAAGCGAAGCCGGTACTTGTTCCGGTGAAGAAGCCGTTTCCTTACGTCGTACAGGTGCCGGTACCCGTCAAGCTTGGTTGGAAGGATCAAAGCAACATCAAGGATAGGGAGGACCTGGCGGACAGCGAAAGCGCCGAGACTAAGTGGCGGCGGCCACGATGGTTAGATCGCGAATCATTCAAGCGATAAAGCCGCAGAGGCACTTTTGAGATACCGCGAGTAAATTATGGTACTAACCGTTGCACCGACTATTTTTTTACACCTAATTGCGAGAAACACATCTTATGTAAATTGAGGAGAGGAAGAACGAATTTCCTCAAAAGATACGGAGTTTTCAATTGGGTTAATTACATTATATTTATCGCTGATTTCTAAAGTTTCAAGAAGTGTTGAGATATTTGAATGATTAAGACAAATAAAATTGCCGTTAAGAACGTCTTATCATAGATCACGCATTGGTCGAAATGATATATTTATTACACCGTTTCCACTGGCAAAATAATCGAAATGGTATTCATTGCACTTCCGTCAAGAAAAAAGAAAATGATCGCTATGTAACATCATATCGACATGTGGAAAAGTTTTCTGACTGTTAGAGAATGACGCATCGACTTATCAATGTCAACGATCACGGCATAGATTTGATCGATATGATTACATAAATTTTAAGTTGCGATGTGAATGTATAAACTTTTCTTATTAAAAAAGAGTTGAAGAGTTATATTGGTTAATTGTGTAGACTGGTTAGTCTGGCACCATTCCTATAAAGTGAAGCGATTCGAAGCGACACGCGAATCCTAGAAAGTTGACGGTCTCTAATAGCCCGAATGATCGTATCGCTAACTTTTAAGCTCGTAGGTTGGGTTCGAGTAACCGTATCTCAATTACGTAATAGTAAGCTCTCTATCAGACTTGTGCACCGGGATGCGCATATGTGGATATGTATATCCAGCCTCGTTGGTTTACGGATTTCTCTCTTTAACCGTCTCTCTATATTTGCGCCATATCTGCGTGAAAATAAAGCAGAGAAACGAAACGACCGGACTCGTTTTCCCGAGTTTGGCCGTCATTTCCCTGTCGATCACAGGCGGAGAGATGGAGGATGGTCGTAAAACTTTGGTAATAAAAGTGAATCTCGTTCATTATCGGACGCACCGTTAATTACGTAAAAGTCGCAAATAATCCTGCTAATTGATCCGCGTTCGCCGGACACAACTCGCATTGTTTTTGCCGTGACACCTGCGTGGATTGGTAAAAAATGAGAGTAATTTTCGCGTACCTGACTAACAACGTCGCAACACGCGCGTTGTAGAAAATAAAACCATCTTTCCGCTCGAGTACAATCGCGAAATGAGGAAATCATACGAGACTTTCGCGTGGCGGTAAAAAATCAATTTTTTAATATATCTTAATGGCGACAGAGAGAGAGTTCTCACGCGCGCGCGCGCGCGCATGATCGGTCAACTTCAGTCTGACCACTTTTGATATTCCAAAATACGCGTGTCATCATTCGTATACTTCTTCTTCTCGCTAATGATTCATAATAAGGCGCTGTGCGTGCGTGCATTTACCAGTGAAACTGCACCTTCTATCGGTATCATCAGGAGTACTCGCGGACTCTAATCTCGAGCTGCTCCAATTTTATCCGGCATAGCGTCTAACCATTCACTCTTTCCTTTTTTTCCTCCCAGCAATAATTAGTTTCGCTCGCTATTTCTCATTTTTTCGCTCTCTATCACCCACAAATACGTATCCATCTATGGATATCAAATAAAAACTAAAGAGGCCATCGTGTTCTCCATAACTGTAGACTTTCAGTTTTTGAACGAACAGAATGATTCCGATCTGGTCCATTTGCGCCGCATTCCCTCTCTATAAAATAGTACGCTTCCTTTCAACGTTATCTTTCCTGTGAATTATAATTCAGAATTCTATCTTTATTATTCTGCGTTTCTGCTCTTCAGCGAGAGTAGTTGGAATAATAACGTTACATTATAATTTATCCAAGGCGTCCATCCCGACGTTTTCTCTTTCTCGTTGCTTTCGTTTATTAGCACCAGAATTAATTCTTTTCGTGTATTTTCTAATTGCAGCAAATAACAATTAAATCTCTGACGGCCCGGCCGAATGCAATCACCATTACGTCCTTTATCGCCGCACGCTTTCAAACGTTTTCCTCGGCCGCTGTTATTTCTCATATTGCCGTCAACAAGTACAGCGCGAGTATCTCTTGACCGGATCGGGTCGCCCACGGCGAGATCTGCCGTACGGCTGAAACACGTTGTTGGTAAATGGCGCACTTACGCAGCCGATCTCTCATCGACGTAGAACGCTCCGTGATCCACGTCTTCTCTTTGCGTCGCGACCGTTTCTCTCCTCTCCGGCGTGACTTTTCACTTTTTCTCTTCTCCTACCGTTCCCGGTCCTTCCTCTCGCGCTCTCCCTCGAACCGCAGCGGATACCGTTAGGCGTCGTCTTGTTCTTCGTCTCGGCCGAGAGAACTCGTATGTAGCCCGGCTGCAACCGCCGCCGCGTCTTACGCGCGCGCGCGCGTCCTTCCGTGGGGACCGGATACGGAGGGGGTTAGTCCTGTCGCGGACGATACGGCACGAACGAGAAATCTCTGTGAGATGGAAAACAGCGGAGGGAGGTTGGGTGCCCGACGGCAGGAGGGGGATGACGGTAGAGAAGGAATGAAAATGTATCTACTTGTCCAATGGCGTAGACGTGGGCAGGACCAAAAGGATCAGCGGCAAGGTGATCATGAGACGATCATAAATCACACATTGTATTCGACGGATAAGTTTAAAATGATGAAATGTCTTTCGGGAAATCTTGAGATTTAGAAGATATAAAAAACCGATTCCGTAGACTTCGACGAAGCGTCCGCACGTTTCTCTTCGGCGTTTCACAATCTGTTGCTGCGACATTCACCATTTGTGCTTAGATGTAGCTTGAAACTTCACGCCTTTAGAGTGTCTATAATAAGAATATAGACATCGTGTGACTGATTTCCGACTGGTTTCCATGTTTGGGACGTATCAAAAGTTATTTTCCAGCAAGAAGGCTTCTCCAAAAGTCGACACCGGTGTAGTTATATCATCTATTATCTTTTTTTTCTCACCAAATACAAAATAAGTATATGATGACGACAAATTTGTGTCGAATTGTGCCTCTCGCTGGAAAGCGATCAAATTCATCAGCTGAGTGATAACACGAAGCAAAGATTTGCTATCTACGAAGTCCGCGAAGTGTGTTAAAAGAAAAGTGAGTTTGTATGTTTCGTATTGCGATCAATTATTAATTTATTTCGGTTCGTACCTATTTAGTGTTCGCACATTTCGCGCATCACGGCTGTGAACTTCCGGTTCTAACCCAAACATGACGATCACAGTTACGATGTCTGTATTCGTATTAAAGGTACTCCACATGCGTTCACCTCATTTAAAGGGATATTTATCGCGAACTCTCGCACACTTCGCGAAAACGATTTTCCATCCGATTGATTTCTGTCAACACGGCCGTTAGCGGGACTTCCGGTGTCGGTCGATTTTTCACCACGCCTACGCCGCTGGTCACGATTATGGAAGCACCGTCGTCTGCGCCCCCCTAGGATATATATAAAAAAATGCCATAACACGGTGCACGTCGGGCGAGCACCAGACGCGTGTGTTTCACTTTTCCGCGAGAGTGCAGAGGGGCTCGCTTGATACGCGTCGGGGGAAAGCGGGCTATAAAGACGGTGGCACCTTGGGGGGAAGCATCCAGTGAAGTCTGGACTTTGACCAGATCGTGAGAGACCGGACAGACATGAAAATTTTGGTGAGTCCACTCTTTCACGCGCGCGTCGGCCGAAATTATTTGTATTCGGGCTTACTAATTATCTCCGCTTCCGTGGTTGCGTCACTCGCTCGAACTTAAGAGATTTCACTCCGAGTAAATATCGGAAATAACAACGGTAGTACGCGAAGTGCGATTCTCTTTTTACGGCGGAACGATCAATTACAGTCGGGGCCGCAGTTGCGGATGGCGAAATTGCGTTTCGTTGGCAATCACGATGAAGCCAATAAGATATATCGCGATTCGAAGGATGAAAAATTACCGATAGCCGAGAGATTAATGCCCCTTTATGTAACCTTCGTAGGCGCGATATCCGCGGCATTAATAACCGCCGATCTACCTGAACGTGCGAATAGCGCTCTTTCACGGTCTGTGAGGTGTATCGTCGATGCCGCAATCGCGCGCAGTTGATGTAATCGCCAGGACGTTTCTATCGATTGCAGTTTCTCACGGTGTTTACGGGGCTGCTGGCCTTGGCAGTGTGCGAGAAGGAGAAGAAATTGACGGCCAGGATCGAAAATGTCGGGGAGAAGAAGCAGAATAAACGCGGGCTGAGCCACATCGAGGGAGACTTCGGGGGACACGACGGCGGCGATTACGGCGGCGGCGATTACGGCGGCGGCGACTACGACGGCGGTCACGACGTCGGCGGCGGAGATATCGGCGGTCACGACGGCGGATACGGTGGTGATTTCGGTGGTGGTTACGGTATCGGCGGCGGCGACGGAGGCGGCGGCGGCGGTGACGACGGTGGCAAGGTTAAACAGATCACGATTGTGAAGAACGTGAAGGTACCCTACCCGGTTGAGAAGAAGGTTCACTACCCGGTAGAGAAGGAGATACCGTATCCGGTCAAAGTACCGGTGCCGCAGCCGTATCCGGTCGAGAAGAAGATACCGGTACCGGTGAAGGTTTTGGTGAAGGTACCGGTTCACATACCGCAACCGTACCCGGTAGAGAAGAAGGTGCCTTATCCGGTGCACGTGCCGGTAGAGAGGCCGGTGCCTTACAAGGTGTACGTCCCGCAGCCTTATCCGGTCGAGAAGAAGATACCCTATCCGGTAAAGGTGCCGGTACCGGCGCCGTTCCCGGTGGAGAAGCCTGTGCCGTACACAGTAAAGGTTCCGGTGCACGTACCGCAACCCTTCCCCGTGGAGAAGCCGGTACCATACCCGGTGACAGTGCCCGTCGACCGACCGTATCCGGTGCACGTGCCTAAGCCGTATCCGGTGCCGGTCGAGAAGCCGGTACCTTACACAGTGGAGAAGAAGGTACCCTATCCAGTCAAAGTCCACGTGGAGCGACCGGTAGCAGTGCCCGTGGTGAAACCAGTGCCCGTACACGTGAAGGTACCGGTACCGGCGCCGTATCCGGTGGAGAAACCGGTACCCGTACCGGTGGAGAAGCCGGTGCCCTACCCCGTAAAAGTGCCTGTCGAGCGACCTGTACCAATCCACGTAACGAAGCCGGTAGCTGTGTCGGTGCCGAAGCCGGTGCCGTACCCCGTCAAAGTGCCGGTAGCGGTACCAGTGCACGATCACGACTCCGGTTACTCGCATGGTGGTTACGAATTTGGGGGACATTCGGGATATTAGTATCAAAAGGCATGGCAGTGGAGGATTTTCCGCTCGGCTCGAAGAGAAATTAACGAATAAGGGGTGGAGGAGGGGGATCTCGAAGTGAGAGGAAGCACGGGAAGGAGGATGAGACGAGTAGTAGAAAGAGAATTCGTTAATTTGTTAAGCCGAGAAATTTCGATCAAAATGCTGTATATAAACGAACGGGGAAACATTTCAACACGAGGATGTAATTAGAATTAGGTAATTAGCGGGCTAATCCTAGAGATAAGAGATTCATGGGGCCCAACTTGCGCAAGTCCTTCACTGCACCGCACGAGCGGACATGTCGGCGCCCACTTTGCGTTGTCGCAATAACACTTCTTCCACATTCGTTCTTTTTCAAACAGTCGTATCGCCGGGAAAAACGTGATTCAAAGAAATGTGATTCGTAACCGCTCTGCAACGTGGAATCGAGTTAATCGGGACGGCGGCGGACGCGCGACCGGTATTCGCGCGTCGCGGTTTTCGAGTCTCGAGAATCGCGCGTTCGCGAGGGAAACGCGGAGGTATTTATCTTCCTACAACTCAACGTCGTCCTCTCACGCCGCGAGGGAGATGAGTTTGCAGAACCGACCGCTTTTGCGCCGCGAACGACGATTCTGGGTGCCGCGAGTCCGCGTAGACAGCGCTAACGATTTCTTAGCTATAGTACCGACACTTAAGTACCTACGAACACATGTTGTACGGTGTGTTTCTTACGTTTGTAAACGGACGTCTCTATACGATATCTTTCGCTTCTTTCTAATAAAACCAAAGAGCAAAACGACTGTCTCGTCGATTTATTCAGCCTCACCAGCCGACCCCTTTGTACGACGCATCTGGACTCACTTCATCTTTTCAACTCGACCCACCCTTTATTCCTCTTTCCTCCATCATTTTTCACTCACAATGTGTTTCGTGACACCTCGTGGTCTTTCCTCGCGAGCGAAGTTAAATTGAGAATTAAACCGGGGCGAATCAACGTTGACGTATCGGACATTTCTCCCGTGTTCGTTAAAGATAGAACAGTCGGAAAAGCGCTGATCGAGCGTTACGAGGATCTTTTTGCGCCTTTCGTCGCGCCGTCGCGGCGGTATCCTTGAACTTCGCGTGACGAATTAGTTATTCCCGAGATTGCGAGTGCGACGGTCACCCGCCCGGGCGTTATTCGTTCGCGAGGGAGAGGCGTTGTTCCAAACAACACGTATGTCACAAAGGACGTCTCGAAGATGTTCTTCGGACGTCTTATTGTCTAAAAGACAGCCTTTACGACGTTTCGGAACGTCTTAATGTTATCTGAGGTACTCGTTGTTCCGGCGGAGAACCCGGAAAATGCAGGAGAATCGGGCGAAAGTCATTCGCGCGATTTCGGCCGGCGTACGCGGAAACTCGCCGGTCCGATAATTAACAACCGCCGTCGGGAATCTCTCTATGCGTAATTAACCCCGTGCGATGCGATGAAAATGGAACTTTCTTTTATCTAGCATGACTAACGAAGGAAAGAGCGCATACGCAACACTTCCGATTCGATGATATCAGCGAGCCGACAACGTCCTGTTCCTCGCGATCTATCATTCGGGGCTTGGTGGATCCCAGATATTAAATCCAGGCTCGACTCCGCGTATCCTTCCAGTCGCAGCGCGCAACGATAGGAGAGAAAGGGTCTCGCGTCTCTTTCTCCTTTGACTGATCTGCCAATGAGCGAATCACGAGAGGAGGAGCACGAGACCGCGAATCGAAAGTGAAATCACCGATCCAGCGCGCGGGATCGTTCGCGATGGGGATTATTCGCTTCGGGCGCATTGGAAATCGCGCACGAGCGTCACGTACGCTTCGAGTATGTAACAGGTTCTATTTAATTATTAAATCGCCAAGGTAGACTCCGGTTAAATTGAGATATCGCATATCTTATTGGAGCGTGCGCGCGTGTATACGCGTGTACATACTATCTAGTGTGTCAATCAGATAATATGTTGGCGAAATATCGCTTTTCCCGCCATTATTATTATTCCGCTTCTCCTACGCATTTAATTTTATAATTACAGCCGCTTCAATTACCGAGATCGGCGTAGATTACGTCGACTCACCGCACTTCGGGCGATAATAATTTCATTCATTTCACCGCCACTAATTCCTATGGCTGTGCGGGAGGACCGATCGCCGCCCACGAGAATGGTACGCGCAGATCAAGGGAATCGAAAGCACGGGTGAAAAATGCGAAGGTGTCGAAATTTTAGCCCTACATTAAGTCTACTTAGTTCTGCATTGAGTCTTCAAATGGAGAAAACGGAAATAACTTCCCATTTGTGGCATCGAGGAGAGCATAATAGAAGATCTTCAAAGGCCGAACGCAGAACTAAATAATATAGTTTTAAAGGCTCGAAAAAATCCGCTTTCTTTCCACCTCTTTCCGCAAGGAACGCGAAAGAACCGTCTTCTTTTCTATTTGTCCGGAGGTTTTTCCGGATTTTTCCGCGGAACGATGGAAAAAGGCAGTTCTTTCAAACTATAATCTCTCGACTCGGATAGCCATCAGGTGGTACTCACCGAATGTACGGAATATTGGCCGGGATGTGATACTTCGCGCCTGGGTCGAAGTCGTCCTCGGATCTCAGCACCGGCGGCTTCGTGCCAGTGTATTGTTCAATCAACCTGTGCCAATGGCAGTTGTACTCCTCCCTGTTCACGTAACCGCGGAAGACGTCCCATCGCCACCTGTCCATCACGATACTGAAAGGCAGCATCACCAGCTTATCCATCGCCAAAGAGAAGAGGTAGTTGATGTCCGCTGAGCGTTCGTCGATGAATTTGTTCGCCAGGTCCAAGGTTTGCAGGTGACGCGGCGTCGCGACACTCAAAGCGACAGCCTCGCCGACAGCTTCGTGGAATCCTGGTAAGTACAGCCGGTTATGGTAAGTACGGTAATACTTACGGTGTGTAATAAGTATTACTACCTCTTGTGGTCCGAGCATAGCAATGTTTAATCGTAACGATGTAGTAACTAAATGAAGATTAGCGAGGACTGTTTATCCTCCCCGCGGGGTTATTATGTAAATTAACGTCGTTCATATCTAAATCGTAATAATTAGCAAATGGACGCTAAAAGTGCGCTCGTTACATTAAATCGCCGAGCGTTAAATTCACGGCTGCAATCAGCCGTAACGACCTTCTCTGGTTACGAGCGCGATAAAACCGTAATTTTTAATCTACTTCCCAGCCACGACTTCCGAATAAGTGATTTTCATTTAGCCCGATTCCGCGCTTCGGATTTGTTTTCCCGAAGAGACTCGCATGTTGTGGACTTTTCACGGGAGTTTGGATGTTTGATAATCAATCGGTGAAAGTAGATGTCAGACGAAACAGATGGTCTGTCGCTTAGTTCCTTCTACGCGTTATTGCCGAGGTTTCTCGAGGTTCTCCGGTTCGCGCGAATAGCGCCGGTGGCTTTTTGCACATGATGTGATTTAGTGTTAACCAGGATGTAATTACGGCTCGCCCGGACAAGTCGAGCGTTGCAGATGACGCTGATTATTTCCTTTTTTTATCACGTTTCCCCGTGCAAATTGCCTAACGCTCGGACGTGCAATTAATTCAATCGCAATTTCGTAACTCGGATTTAACATTCATCGCGCGCGCCACGAGCATACGGAATATTAATAAAAACTTAGATAATGTCGTGCGAACGTTTGTGGTATATGTAAGACGACCCCAAGCCATTTCCGATCTTCCTAATTCGCAAGTCCACGCGAAAAAGTAATCACACGGTAAAAAAAAACTTGTTGTACTTGCGTTAGAATCCGTTCTTATTCAAGTTTTTGGTGGTAGATTTTTAACATACCCGTGTGTTAATTTAACATTGTGTTTATGTTATCTCAACGTTTTGCGTTGTGTCAATATTCAACATGTGTAAGTGTTGAAATAACACATTTTATACTTTAGTATAAAATATTCGAGTAACGTGTTAATTTCGTGTTAACTTTCGACATAATATTTGTGTTATTTTTCAACATGTTCGCCTTGTGTTAAATTAACGTAAACATTTGAGTAGACCGTTTGGAACACGTGAAACGTGTTAAATTTAACACAAAATCGTTGACTGTGCAGGTAAAAAAGTATGTAGCAGTCGGTACGATATAACCACTGTCGCATTCATTATAATATTTTTTCGAATGAGGTCTTTTTCGATGGAGATCATTGACATGCGATGGAAATTCGTCATAGCGTGCGAGCGATCTTGAAACATTTTGCATGAGAACGTAACGCGTCCGAGGCCGAGACATCGTTCGCGGATTCCATGTGGAACCGACGGAGATCGGTCGATCAGCAAGGCCGCCGTTGCGAAGCTGTTCTCGTTGATTCGAAATCATCGGTGTTCCGATGTGAACGACCGGGCCGGCCGGTCTGCCGGCCATTGCGACGGAGAAAGCGTGATTATATCGTAATAAAAATATTTTAACATCCGCGCTCGCGCTCGACGCCAATGTACGCGAGTAACATCCACTCGCCTATTCGTAAATAGCGAGTAGTGCGCGGCGTACACCGTATCGCTCTCGCTCTCGCTTTCGCGCTATTAGCCGTAAAGGAACACGTCGGCTGTGCCTTCCGGAAGTCGAACAAGAGCGGACAGCTCTAGGTTACGTAACGCGTGTCGTCCGTCCAGCATGGATGCCATCATCGCCGGACATCTTCTACCCTTTTGTCCTGCTCCACGTTTTTCCTTCCTGGCGTGATGCAACTTTGCGTTATCTCAGCCGTGCATCGTGATAACGACCGTCAACGCCGTCACGTTTGACGGCGGCCGATTGACGGATCGCGTCGTGTTTCACAAGTGCGGTAATACCTTCGCGACAATGTTACAATATTGTCCAGCTGTGCGTGTTAACGATGGAAAAGCGTACGAAAAATTAGCCTTAAATCAAAATAAATATTCTCATATATTAGCAAGAATACGTAATATTCTTAGATTTTTAGTCTTGAATTAAGTTCAAATAATACTTGCATCAATACAAATTTGATCAAATGAAGACTAAAAATCTACTAAGAAGATTATAATATTCTTGCTTATATATGAGAATATTTATTCTTAATTTAAGATGAATTTTTTTCTGTGCAACAGTTATGTTATTATTTTCGCGTTCAGTCAAACGATCACTTTGTCGAAAATTCGGATTTTATTATGCAATTTCTTTTACTTCTCCGTCAGTAATTTTTATCTGGATATTTTTTCCGTTAATTTTTGTTTTTATGAAAATCTGTAATAGTAACACGAAACGCAGAATGGAAAGTCGATAATTTTCATGAAATTTTACAGAGTATTGCATAGTGAAGCTAAATCTTAATTTGAAGCGATACGTATGAGTGTGATCTAATTGTGCACCTAATGTTTTAATAATCTAATATCTAATGTTATCATTCTATTAGATTATCTCATTCTCATACCTGGATTCGCGCCGTCACGAAATTCGCGAGGCAGGCCGCTGTATCGCAAGAAATATTGGATATGTGCCATCTCGTGGTGTACAGTTATCAGATCCTTCATTGTCACTTTCGTGCACATTTTAATCCTGAACATAAATAATAACGTATGAAAAATTCTGCTCTTTCTGATATATATAATCTTTCAGAGATTCAATATTTAAAAATTCATAACATTATCTCATAATATATTAAATCCACTATCCTATATATGTTAAAAATGTGTATTATTTAATGTAGAGACCTATAATCCAAACGGTTGCAGAAGTCCCACGCGGAGGCTTGGCAGATAAGCGGGCGGTTGCCAGGATCGACGATTATACTACCGGCCCAGAATTCCGGCGGCATAGCGCTTAAGTTCATGGATAGGTAGAAATCTTGGGCGACTCGGAACATATCGATTGGTGTGTAACCCTACGTTATATTATACGATTTTTATAAATATATTGATTATTTAATAATCAACAGTATCGACTTTTATTCACAGTGTGTGATAAGATTATGAGCCTTACTTGAGCTTGCATCTCCTGAGTGACGTCGAGATGTGTTTTTCCAGGGTATGGTAAAGTAACGTCCAAAAGATTGCTCCAAGATTGTCCCCACACGTTGCCTGTGGCAATTTTTGATATTGCAAACGCGATTATAACATTATTATTTTGATACAAATTATATAAACGACGATATACAGTTAGTATAAAAAGATATTATAAGTCCGACTTATGTTTCAACTTTCAAATAATATTTTCACTGGGTTGAAATTATTCGGCATAACATTCGGCGATGATCTTTTTACGAACAAATATTTCATAAAATTGCTTTTACCGAGGATGTGGGACGGAAGAGGCGCGTGACCGCCTATTTTTTCGGGACCATATAGATCTCGTAATTTCCTGCGAACATAAGCGTGCAGTTCTTCGTAAAGCGGACGAATCATTTCCCAAGCTTCGTCGATGTCCTGTTGGAAATTAGGAGACTCATAAGGGAACATCCAATATTCGGCGGCGTCGGTAAAGTCTAGAAAAAGAAGAATAATGATGTATTTTTATATAAAAATATTTAATTGTTCCTTATCCGGGCTAAAATCGGTGTCAACGTTACTTGACACAATCGGATCAATTACGATTTTTACCTGTTTTCGTTTAACCCAAGCATTAATCATTTTTTACTTATATAATAATACATTTATTTAATGTCAAAGTGCTTTTTTAATATTTAAAAAATATAATTTAAATAATAATAACTTATTACACTGTGTACTTTGCTTTAATACTATCCTATTTAAACTATACTATAAATTTCATTTCAGTTATGATACTGAACGTACTGTTCAATCTTGCCGCTTCATTGTTCAACGTAACGAGTTGCTGATAGAGATCTCTAATCGGTGCACCGCTTCGTCTTCTCCACTCGGTCCAAACGTATTGCAATTCGTCCCAGTCTCGGCTTTTCGCCATGATTTGCGATATGTCTATAACAATACACAAAGAACACGGTCGATGCCAAGGTTTCTGATTTTCCGGCGCGTTGACATCTGTCGCGACATCGTCTCTTGGATATTGTCCCACTGCCGTTCACCGTAATCTCGCGAACGATCTGTCCTCTTTTCTTTATTCCAATCTACGTAATTCATCATTCGTCATAGATATATAAGGAATAACTGCTCAACATTGCGTAAAGAAATCTTTCATCTTTACCATAAAGATCAAAGATTGCAACAAGTGTCGCCATAATAAATAATTTCTCTTTAATTTCTTTTTAATTATAAGATATATCTTACAGAAATATATAATAAATGCAGTAATCGTAGACTATCGGTAGGCTACGCGGCGTGAATGGAAAGTCACGTGAAACTGACGCGGCGCTCAACCTGTTAAATTTACATACACATGTATTCACTTCCTAATAAAATTAAGAAGTGCATATAACTTTAATAACAGAGCAATTTGGACTCGTTATATATGATTTATTACGATCGTGAGAACAAGTTCTAGGTCAGTGGAAAAGTCGATGAGACGCGGTCCGTTTTCGTCTCATGCGGACGTGAAACGAATTCAAGCAGAGGTCAGTGCCTCTCATAGCTTGAATTGCTAAATAAAATGACCGGCCGCTGTGTGTAACGGTCGCTTGTTAAAATTACGTATCGGCATGGAAACCATAAATTCTCTGTCGAGCCGCGCGTAAACCCACCCATTCCTGCTTCCTTCTGTTCTCTCAAAGCGCGAACACGACTCCGCTGCAAATCATCATTCCTCGCGGCAGACGCAAGGGGCAATTAGATTCCCGCAATCAACTGCGTAGCGTCTTCGCTCAAATAATTAATTATTCGCTTTCTACCCGCACACATCGTGACGGCAACGCGTAGTACCGCGTCCCGAGAACGTGTTTACCCCGTGTCTAAATGAGCGTGCAGGAATTTTACGTCGAACGCGAAAAATAACAGACAATTAGAGACGCATCACGGCGGCAAAGGAGTCGTGATAAATTAACCGACGAGATAGGAGGGATCCCCAATGCACGCGCGCGTGACGTATTCGGCTTCTTCACACTTTCATGCGCATTTTGGACTTACGTAAATCTCGCGCGGCAGAATTTCGCCGCGTCGAACCATGAAGGCGCGGCGAGGCCCGTCAATTTGCCCGTTACCGAGCGTAACGTGATACGTTACCTGGATATAAGCGCAGTCCGCATCGGAAGGGATCGTTGTAAGCGCATATCGTCGCACCATTGTAAACAGCGAGCATGTCATTGATCAGCCGATTGTACTGTGAAGGAGTACTTTCATTATCTACTATCGACTTCCTATGGCATTATCGGCTTAATGACGATGCCAGTGTCGATGATGGTCTCGCGGTCACGCTTGAATTATGAAAGAAGCGGGGCAACGTGAAAGCAACACTCACCCTGTCTAACTGATCGGGACTTAGCGCCGAGGGACCCACGACCGACAAATACCTGAGACGTCGTCTGATCGTGGGATCTCGGATCGCGTTCCGGTCGATTCTCGAGATTAAATGCCAGGCTTGGTTCTGAAAGTCCGCGTAGAGCCGTTGGGCCTCCAACTGAAACGGCGATGTATGACGTATGCACTGGGAACAATTCTCGGGCGGGGGCGGGGGGGGAAATAGATTCTTTCGTTGTAAACAACACGTTACAAATACATTCACAAATTGTGTTAGTTCTTTCGAGAAGTGGAATTATTATTATTATTGTTATTTATTACATATACGGGACAAACTTCCTTTTCGTACATAAGAAATGCATAAATATAATTACATTTGTAGAGAAAATATACTAAAGAGGAAAAGAAAATTTGAAAAAAGGAAGGAAAATTTAATCGGAAAATTCACAATTTCGAAAGCAGACCGATAAATGTCTTCTTAAACGTTCTCTGATTAATAAAATTGCATGCGATTAATAAAATTGCGCGTTGTCTGTTTTATCACGTTTACTTAATGTATAATTAAGACGACGGGATTTTTTAAGCATGGGAAGCGCCATGTTGCCCATTGTCGCGTTAATTACGTGACGTAAGCAAATTAACATCGTCCGCGAGCGATCAGCGAACGTAGTTGCAGTAAAGCGCGAATCGGCGCACAACGCTTTTACCGTTAGCGATAAAGTCGTTGTATCTACTCTCTTCCTGAAAGTAATCTGCGCTTGAAGGGAAGTGGTTAAGAAAGTGAAACTGTACGCTTTAAGCCCTTCAATGTTTATAGTTTGCGAGGAAAAACATACGATTTGCTCAAAATAAAAAGAAAGAAAGGAAAAGAGAGACAATATTATAATATTATATGATATGATAATTAATATCACACGTAAAAAAACAATTTACGATGACTATACCCAAATAACACAGTCTGGCTATATTCGCTGTGACGGCAAAGATGTGGCCAGTATAACATCTTGCCATACTTAATTACAATTATTTAGCTGCAAATGTTATTTTGCTGGACTTATAGCTGGACTTATAGCTGCAAAAGCACTGTGATAGCTAATAAAAAGTCAAAATGCAGCCACAGTTATATCAGCTATATTAATAGTTATACAGTCGATGTGACAGCTATAAGAGGAATCAAAACTAGCCGCAGCCATTTTAGCCGCATTAATCAGTATGAAGTCGCTATGGTAGCCTCATCACAACATAATAATGTTGTCCCACTTTTGCTGCTACCTCTTTATCAAGACGCCACAATGACGTTGTGGCAGTTGTAGCTGTGCCAGACAAATGTTGTGTTTTAAGTTGCGACAACATTATCACAGCCCTTTTAAAGCTTCATGTACTACTTGAGTAAATTGTGCACATGTCAATCGTGGTCATGCGTCACGTGATATGTATCGTTAGATAAAAAACACTCAGACCACCGTTACGTGACGACATAGTTTTTCTATCATTAGATCCGACCGGAAGTGAAAATTGGCGTCAGCACGTGCGACGTAAGAAGCATCGCGAAGAAATTCCGTTGAAAAAGGGAATATGTTAATCCATTTGATAATCGTTACGCAGCAATGGAGAAGTCAATCGGCTCGTGGCTACAAGCTCGACAATCGCTCGTTACGATCGCCGATGCGATATCTCTCACGCGATAATGAATAGGCATCTATGGGCAGGGCGTCGGCCACATCAGCGTACGTTCTCCGCCGCGGAAAAAGGAAAACGGCACCTCGCGATTATCGTTGGCGTCACGCGACGCGAGTCTCGCCGAGTGTTTCGCATTGAGAAGTACAAAATTCCCGTTTCTCGGCGATACTGGAGAGAGAGAGAGAGAGAAAGAGAGAGAAGCGCGCGTCGCGAGATTGCAAAATCGTTCAGGATGACTATCGCATGACAATGGCACCGCCTGGGAAGATTTCCCGCGAAGGCGTTCGGCCTTTCGCGGACAATGCGAGCGGTCTCGTGCCAGGGAAAATCGTGGTCGCGATGTCTACGAAGTAACGTCAGTGTGCGCGATTCATCCGCCGGCCGATGGATAAGTCGATGTGTGCAGACGCAACGGAGAATCGCGCGGTAAGATACCGAGAGGAGGTCGAGGCCCCTACGAAAATATTTCATAGGGTGGACGTGAGTCCCATACGATTGTACGTGACCGCTTTCCATGTTGTGTCACCGAGCCGTTTCTTGAAATTGAAAATTCAGCCTTTCTAAGGTGAGACTTTGTAATTTTATCCTTGCGCGTATTTCATGTTATTTGCTGTAATTCTAATTTCTTTGATTTTCACGTTCAAACTGGTGTTTTATTTGATCTAGAAATATATCTGATAATCGTAGGAACGAAGATATGCAAAAAATTTTTTTCATTTTAATATATAAAAAGATATGTATTTTTGCACATTTTTAATTTTGTATCGGACTGAACGTGAATTGATTTTATATGATTAAGTATTTTTTATTATACTCTTATTATACTATACTTATATTAATAAAATAAACTTTTACCGGGTAATATTAGCGATTTATTACGACATTGACGCGTTCATATAGAAGACAATGTATCTTGGTGAAGTAGCCTAAATTACGTATCGTGAATAGAGTGTCAATCATGCGGGTTATATTCCAGAAAAGTTTCGAAATTTGTCAGTCTGTAGTTAGCGAGAAAGTTGCGAGAGTTGCGACCGTGTTAGCATGATAATGCCCCAATGTGACAAAATTTCTGTGCAGTGATATTAACCCTTACAGACCGGGAATCCACTATAATGGCGTAGCGAGGGTGTTTTGTTTTTTACTAGTCCATCCTTTAATATATACATGAAAAGTTTTAGTTTTCAAAAATGGTCAAAGTCACGTTAAAATACTGCCCGGTTTGTAAAGGAAAGAAACATTTTCTTAATAATAAAATATAGATTCTTAACATAGTCCTACCGCTTGTAGCTGCGTGTATTCATTAACATCGGTTTCGTATGCCCATTGCGCGGCGACGTTAGCGCTACATCTTTCCGCACCGAGAAATTCTAATCTGGCTAGGATATTACGAAAATCCAATTCATTGGAGGGAAGTTGCCGTCCTTGGCCGTCAGGAATGTCGGTGTCTCTGTATGGTGGCAAGTCCAATTGACCCGAAACCGCTGATAACAGGCATAGTATGAACGCTGCCCATATCTAAAATATCACAAATTTATTTAAAATATCATATGTGTTCGTTGGTTTTGTACTTCTTGAGCATTAAGACTGTATCTCAAATAACAACACATATGCGATACGCTGTTGATAACAGACAAAATACAAGCGCCACTCATTTTAAAACACAAGTATTTTGTTATTTTTCTTTCCTTCTCGATTACTAAGATTACATCATAAACAAAAGTTATGATTGTATTTATTATATTTAAAAAATTGGAGAACATTCTAATCATTGTCTAATTAACTTTTAATTAATAAAAGTTTTATATTACACTAATGTTCACCGTTCAATTTCTTAAATATTTTCTTCCTCAAAATTACAACGATTTAAATGAAAATTTGTTCAAATTTCATATCGCCAAAAAATATTTCTGTATTATTATATAAATAAATATTTATATGTGTAATAGTGTCCACATATTTTATTTCTTATTATTTCTAACTTTTGCGTATTAGTAGAGTTGATGAGTGGACACACGACGACCAAATAACGAACTGACACATTCGCAATCGCTCAATATCAAAGTCAGGCGATAATCATAAGACCATAAGAAAGAAATTTGCGAGGGTAGTGAACCCGGCTGTATGTATATGTCGATTGATTTATGCTGCTGACAAGGTACACGTGATGAGGATATAACTAGGTCAAATACGTACGTCTAATAATACGCTTCGTTTATTTCCGTCGCTTTCCATGTTTTACGCAAAATTATTTAATCATTTTGCCGCGGGACACGCCCGGTATTATCGCTTCCCCCCACGTCCTATATGTTTGAATCGTATAACTTGGTGATGTTATCTTAAATAACTGTTACAATAATCTTTCTTTACGTGGGGGTTGCTTCCTTTCTACATGCATAAAAAAAGTTTCAAAAGTTTATATACCCCTCGTCCCGACTCATTGATGTACTGATATCAAGAAATGAAGAGGAAAGTTTATCAGAAGTTGTCGGAAGTGTCAAATAACTTGGGAGCCTAAATGTGAGAACGTTAAAAACAACCGAAAAAAATAACCATAAAAAAATTTTTCTTCTACGATATTTATCTTTCAAAATTATTCAAATTTTGCTCTAAACATGTTTCTTATATTATTAAAAAAAAAGGAGATATTTAGGTGTTCTTTTTATGTAGCGATGCATATAGTGATGAAATCACAGAGAGATCTTATGATATAATATTATAGTTATGTGAGTTGATGGATACAATTTATGAAATATGACGAGCGCTCTTTCGTGCATGTCTTAACTGCCGCGCTATGAATTACCACGCGATTATTATGGGGAGGTTCTCTTACGAGTTAATATGGAAATCTCATTGTTTCTTTAAATCACGCCATGACATTATGAACCGAGCATTTACGCGCAATTCATTTGTTGGTCTCACGGTCACGTGTTGCGTCTTAGCGTTACGTATTTCCTTTTAGCATGAAAGGTACCTTCTTATGTGCACAGTAGTAGGTCATCTGCGATTGATCGAGATGCGATGACCTTGGTTTCATACAATTGCGCTCATAGAAAAATACATATAGTCATTTAATTTACCGATCGTCGTTTAGAAACTTCGAATTTTACGTCATTTTGGTCAAAATAAGAGTGTATATTTTAGTGCTTTTCTAAAATAAATGTTTACAAGATGTTATCTGTAAATCAATAATATAATATTTCAACGAACATTAATTGCTTTATGATAAAATATTCAGTGTGTGAATTGTTGTCCTAATTAAATTTTTTTAACAATCCATGATGAGATATTTTATTTATTATATAAATTATCTCATCATGAAATAATGAAAAATGTTTTATTATAAATCTTGAAAAAGTTGAATTAAAATTATTATAATTGGTATCGATATTTACATTAAAATTTATAGAAGATATAAATGTGATGTAAGTGCATACTCATGGAAGGAAAAATGAAGTGTTATTATACTCGTTTACAATAGAATCTAAGCATCTCATATCAAAAGATCTAATGGAAATAGATCTTTTGATCTACTGCGGATGTAAATGACTCATAAATCCACTTAAACAACATCCGTTTCACACCCTCCGTTATCATTTAATCTATAGCACTTGCAAATGAACAGTTTATCTAATTTATAGCAATAAAAAAATTGTTCCCAAAACTCAACGAGCCAGCTTGTGTACGGAGCATGACCAGGATAGAGTTATCCGTAGTTTATATCACGATTGCCGAAGATCCTAATTTCATCAAAATTGCTGGTGATGGATATCCACAAATTTATATTTTGCCATTCTCGCTTGAATATAAATTGAAACTATGTTAGTGTTGAAGAATGAAAATTGCAATGGTTCACTAAATACAATTCAGTGCGACACGTGCAAATGTATGCGGCCCGAAAATAAATCTTAAGAACCTTCGCGATTTATCCGACTGACACATTAAACATCCCGATAAATCCTGCACATCACCGTATGAAAGATTCATTGACATAAACGTTTTAGCACTTTGCCGAACTGGTTCGTTCTCTCACTATTCCCTCTTTCGTTTAACCACATGTGTACCTCCTGTAATAAATTCATCTACAGCGTTTACCACTGACAGTTCGTTCGTCATTTTGTCGAGTACAGCGGCTTTTCGTCTCTCTCTTTTTCTGTTTACGCGGGTTCTCTTCGTTCTATCCCGATGTTCTGCACATTTCGCGACTTTGGACGACTTTTAACTTAAGATAAGACGGTATCCCGGCATATGAAGATCACGTTGTTTTTCTTCACATGAATGATCTCCTTCGTGATCCTTCATTCGTCCGGATGAAGGATCACAAACCCTTCGGGCACGATATTTTCTAGCGTTAAAATCTATAGCACTGCGGAAAACGGCCACAATAAAACATCGACGAAGACTTACAAAACTTCGACCTGCGCGGTCCACATCCGACACTCTGCCGGTTCTACCGAACGCGTGCTCCATGTGCGTCGAAAATCGTATTGATCTCAACCCCCGTCGACGATCATACACGCTCGTCTATCGATCGCAGGCACACGCAACGACTCGTCACCGACGTCGTTGTCGCCCTCGTACGAAATTCCGTTCCACCGATCGAGCACGACTAACACGAGCGGCAGTTTCGTTCTGCCGACACTAAAAGCCTCGTGGCCGACGTCAAGTGTACATTTATCCCTGCGAAGCTGTTCGAACGCGACCAGGGAGGTCATCCGTAAAGAATAGTGGGGGATTCGTGTACACTTCGTCCGTGTCGTTGGTTCGTCGGTGTCGCTGCTACCATACGGATTGTTCGTGGGAGGAAGTAGAGAGGTAGCCGAGGACGAGGAAGGAAGACGAAGAGCCTTCAGCGTCTAATATGCGAAAGGAACAAGAAGAGGAAAGGTCATTTTTGGACAAAAACAAAATTCAGGATAAGACGAGGGTGAAGAGCGGAAATGAGAGAGATGCTAAAGATAGATGGTGACGATAGAGTTTTGTTATCTGGGATCTTTTCCGATGTTGTATGTGGGAATAGAAGGTGGCAGGAAATGTGATTCCTCGTGAACAGTCAATTCGACAGCAATGCGTCGGTTCGATTGAAAAGAACGACGAAAGGAAGAGTAAAAATGTAGGAGTGCCAGATAACTAGAGAGGGAGATTGAGAGAGGTCGAGGGCCAACCGACTACCGATTGCGACAACCTGAAGCTCTCACGTTGACAAGAGTTACTCGTCGACCCCCTTCAATGAGGCCCATTGTCTATAAGAGTATACGTCTGCTCGTCTATAAGCATTTCAGATTTGTCTTCGGAGCTACCGATAGAAAAGTACCAGAGCGGTAAAGTGTAAACTATTCGAAATAAGAATGATGGATCTATTCGCAGCGATAAGATTTAACGATACGTCAACTTGATGGATGAATCTATAATGAAAAACAAATGGAAATTTTATCATGATTCATTCTCGAACACTTGCACGTATGAAGTTTATTCGAATCGTTAGTCGGAGAAGAGATCGTTGATATAGTTTTATTTAGAGATGCGATGTGTTTTCACGTGATTTTTCACAAATCAATCTTCTGATTTGTAAGGTTCTAAAAATATTTTATCCTCGTTATTTAATTTATCACATCTATAGGTTTATCAATTTATGAGTTGGAAAATTGCCATTTCTAGCTTGTTTATTATTACCAATAACCGAATTGAGGTTTTCCATATCGGCAGCACGGCACTAATTGTGGAATCCATCGGCTAAACTCAACTGTGCTATTTGGAGTTAAAATAGCCACTTCAAAAAAGTAATCAGCGGATAACTGAGGATAATTAATAAAATATGCTATGTAAGACGGAGAATGATCGAATGGTGAAGAACGAGGATGATAGTAATTATCGCGAGTGTTACATCCTGAATAAGGAACGCAATGAGAACTATGCTATCGCAGTTTGCAATCCGCCAATTTACAAGGACATAGACACGCGTACGGTGATCCTTCATTTGGGTCAAGGAACCTTCCGTGTTAATAGTAATTATCTAAACCAAAATAATTATCTAAACTGTGTTCCTATATCGGTCCGGAGTTTAATATATGTTTTGGTAACCATTACCATTACTATTACCGAATGCCCTATCAGAATTCTGTCGAAGAGTTCAGCTCTTTCGTAAGAAGGAACATCCAGGATTTTATGCAGATGTAACATGTGTATAATATCCTCTGTAAATGCGACTCACAGATGAGTCGGATGGGCGTGTACAAATGAAACATCGATGAGGTTCCGCGAAGCATTGACTTAAAACCGACTGGCGCGCAATTTTATGCATTATAAAGTGACTCATCGCTTACGAGTCCGCGTAATTACACTTAATCTTGCCTTAATACGACCGCACGAGTTGTTTCCTGATTCGAGCGGACTTGTCTTCTCTTTGTCAACCGTAGAACTACTCTGTTAAATCTCTCAAATATTCCGATACAAACGACTTTATCCGGACTGATAGCTCATATATTTACAATAACTTACCGTCAAACAAATGGAAAAAAATGTCATATGACTTAATATTTTTCGTCGACATAAGGAGGAAACTTCTTCGATCCTTTAACACGTTCATTGCCGATCACGCGATATCGCGTGATGCGAGTTCTCACCAAACGGCCGATCACGCGTTATCGCGTAATAGATATTTAGAGTACATAAATTCTATGTACATAATAATAAAAGCATATAAATAATATATTAATTTATTTTGAGTACAATAAAAACTAAATAAAAAAATTTAAAAAAATACGAAATTCCAATTTCCAGCTTGGCGATGAACGTGTTAAAGCTGATCGCGATGTTAGTTCAACTCCAACTTTGATTCTTCTTCTGTTCACATACGTTACACGTGGAGTTGTAAACATCTCTAGAAGGAAATGGCGAGAGTGTTCACCAAGACAGTTCACACAATCGATGCAGCCTGACTACGTGTGAAGCTACCGCATGCAACTCGATCTGAATGTTAAAATCAACATTATTCAAAATGCATGGATACGTCGCACGTCAATACGTCGGATAAAGAGGCTACAAAAAATATGCAAATCAGATGAGCGCCGACAGAATTACGCTGCTGCACGTGTACGCGACCACGGAGCGTGCGGTCACGGAATCGACGCAGATACGAATCGGTTCACGCGGTTTTCTCGCGCGGCACCTGATCTTGAACTAGATGTTCCACCTTGCTTTCATGATCGGCGCTCTCTGTGACAGCGGCTGACAGTACGGTAGCCACGTGGGTTCTTCGTAACGATTGTGATTAGCACGACGGCGCGGTTTGCGCGATAAAAAGCATAAACAACCGCGCCCAGTCGGAGAGGAGAGAAGAGGATAGTCTCACGATGATCTGGAACGCACGTAACCGCGAATGGCCTAGACCACTTCGCGGGGCCTTGAATCGTTATGGCGATGTTCTTACGTGTACGCATACTTATATCTGCATATTCCGTGCCGTATGGAGTGCCGTTCGCATTTGCGCACATATACAGCGTGATATATACGTTTACATAACGCGCGCAAGCTCTTACATGCTCATCGTGGATATTGTATAATATAGGAAAACGCGACTCGCATAATTCGCCGGCTCTTAGGCGTTTTCGAGTCTTTTGCGCGGTGCGCCGGGAGGTTGTTCGTTTGACGTTCGCACATTTCGCATGGAACTTGCGTACCGGAGTAAAATGATTTTCATCAGTGCGAATTATTTATCGTCGGTCTTGTCGGTAAATCTCGTCGTGCCTCTTTCTTATTCAATCCTGCGTTTCTTTGTTAACCTCGCTCCAGACAAATGTAGCGAAGTAATTTATTTCATAAAAATTACACGAGATCATAGAGAGCTTGTTTTTCATACGGATTGCGCAAATATTAAAATAAAACTCTGAGACTTCATCAGTTCTTAGGTCTGTATCAATAGTTGGTTACAGAGAAATTGTCAGAATAAAATAGTCTTAAATTAGATTTTAATTAAAAGTTAGATTTGAGATTTTCAGTTGAATCGCACGATATATTTGACATTGACTGACACCTGTAAACACTATTAAACTAAAAAAACTCACATCTAACTCTGAATTTAGATCTAAGCATCTTATCTGAAACAAATCTCGAGTAACAGCTACTAATACCAGGCCTTGGTGATCCTCCCAAGTTTGCTAATATCTTTATGAGTGATGCAATTTTGTTTTTGTTTATAGGTACGTCACGACGGTCGGATGTATGTGGAAGGATACAAAAAGGTTTCCTTCGTATCCTTTGTCCGTCTCATAAAATTAAGTCAACGTATACGCCCAGGACATACGGAATTAAACCCTCAATGCCACGCGTATTCGCGTTATACCCGTGCAACCGTACAGGTGTCTCGCTTAAGAACGTGTACTTGTTCCCCGCGTGACGGCACTTTGACAATGCTAATCTCATTGGCAGATAATACGTGCACCGGTCTCACGTACCGACCGCAATTCTGGGTTCAAGTACACACGAATATGGCCACCATACGATTACAACGTGCAACCGTGCGTTCCTTGTGACTCTTTTTGTCGCTTTCGGATGAATCTTAATCGACTCGATCACTTCAAAAGAATACATGTTGAGTGGACAAAAAAGGAGGAGAATAGATGACGATACTTGCACAATTCTTCGTACTCTAATGCTAATTTAAGTGGCACGGAACTCGACGGAGTCGGCGCAAAATTGCAGGAAATGCATTGAATGCCGGTATTCTCGATCATTGTTATTCATACGTATGCTTACGGCGGGTTCTCCTATTTCCTTTTCCCGAGACAAGTAACTGTTCAATCCTTGATCCTTTAAATAAAACCTTTTCTATTTCATTGACGTCACTCACCGCCGTCGGTTGCCATATATCAGAGCTATTTTTAACGAGCTGTTTAGAAATATCAGTTATTTGTTTCCAAGTTATGATGATTGGCAGATGTAGTAGTGCAATATTGAATATTAAATCGATAGTACATACAGTCAGAGAAAACCGACTAAAAAGAATTAAATGAAAAATGTTATTGTATTCGGGATACTTTGTAATATTATATAAATTTCACCTTCTGGAATTTATATCTTCGCAAAATACTTTTAGTATATTTTTATTATTAACTCCTTATTATTAACTTTTCTCTTTTTTTTTCATTTGTCGAGAGTTTGGGTTGTAATAACTGTAAAATATTTCTTAATTTCTGAATAAAATTATAATGAAAATCCATTATTAAGTTAATGCAAAAAAAGTTTGTTTCATTTTCAGGATCATGCAGATATCGAAGAAATGGCCGATTATTGAACAAAGTGGCATATTTTTAATTGATTGATCGTATTTATAAATATATATTTATAAGTTAATTGTAAATAAATAGATGTTATATGTACATTTTGATTAAAAAATAGAACGAACTTTGTAACCCAATATATCGAATCACGAAATATTATTAAAATATTTAATTTCATGCTACCATGTGTGTGTGACTCTTTTGCTAATGAATATTAAACTTAACCGTAGCGGGATATGTACACCACAAGCGTTCAACCACTTAGACATTTTCTTGCGATACACATTTTCTTTAAGCGTTTCCCTTTTCAAAACCTTGGAATTAATAGCGAGTGAGACGTATGCATCTCTGAACTATAAATTTTTTATGCACGAGCCACGATAACAATGCCGATCGTAACATACGTCGTTAATTATTTTCCTCAAGATAGCAGCGAGGAAACGTGGGAAAGCGGCAGGATGCGTAACCGGTATTGCGCAAACTCGGTTAAGAGTTACGCAGAGGAAAGAGCGACAACAAGGTTAATCAGCCAGCCTATGAAACGCCTCGATCGATGTGCAGAATCCGGAAGATCGCGATCGTATCCCGTCAGATGTTTGCTTTTGAGAGATAAAAAAATGAAAAAAAAAATAAACACGCCACAACTAAAGCAAGCGTGGTGACAAAACACAATTACAATTTCTGCGATGCGTTAAAATTGATTTCACGAACTCAATCACGAGCGGTAAAAAGCTGACCTGATTGCCGGTCAGTCTTCAAGGCGGTTTCGCGGATCGACCGAGGAACAAATAAAGCGGATATGCAATGCGGACCGCATGTTATTGCGTAAATCGCTTTACGTTAAATAAATCGGCGAAACGCATCGGGCGCGGGTAATTGCGTATGGTAAACGCACGTTGCGTTATACCTGTGCTAAACGCCCATCGACAAAGCTCCCGTAGACTAGGAAGTAAGAGCTCGAGACGAGTATTCCTGTACGCGCCATTTTTTATCTCGTCCCGTTTAGAATGCAAATGTAGGTGAGCGTGATATCGTTCCGTGCGCGCTGCTTCTGGCAGGTTACGAGTTTCTTGGTCGAGTCTATTGGCGCTCGATTTCACAAAACAAGCGGACACGAAGACGATGCGTAATATGAGACGATCACCCGTTAATTAACGTCGCTGTACGTGACGCCAAACACGATGACGTATGCTTTAATCAATGGAAATTTATTGCCGGGAATAATGTCGTCGCGTGATTGAATTCACTGGCGCAAATTCTTCGCGAGGAAGAATATGTAGTCGGCGGCGCGAAGCTTGCAGCATATTTCTTCCCGCTTTGGATTAGATCAAATTCACCGAAACAGTCGGGCAATTTTCACCAGTTTTGACTCATTTCATAGAGAAGAGTTACGATCCTTCCGTCACTGACTACTTGTATATACTGATACTTATTGTATTATTCCAATAAATAATATTAGAATAAGTAAGATAAGACAGACGAATTGCACTGATCAACTTTTGCAAGGTTTTTGTATCCGGAATGGGAATAGGTATTCCCGAATGGATTTTGTTTGCTAAACACAAATCCGTTGTCCAAATTTGGCTATTGAGTCGAATTTGAAAACAATAATTCACAATCACAATTTTGAAAAAAATAACCAACCAGACAAGAAGTTAAAATTTCTCAGCCAACGTCATCAAAGTTATCTTACACGATAGCTTCTTTTCATCTTGAGGCCCATATCCGACGTGTTGCCCGATTTGACATGATGCGTAGTCGCCTTCCCACCCACGTTTGGGGCTTTTCATGTGTAGCGCGTCCGCGCGCTTAAGACGGTTTCCTCGCAATATTACGTAGTCATTAACAAGATTGCTACTTGTCGCCCGGTACTCACGACCCTGCATACAACTGTGAATCACGACGATTGAGTAAGAACCAACCTTCTTTTTCCTCTTTTTTTTTTTTTTTACTTTGTACACGCGTACCGCGATATGTGTGTCGTGTGACTCGATGCGGCACAAACGAGAGATCGCGAAGAAAGGCAAAAACTCCATTTAACGACGACACATCGCGACATTACGCAACGTTATAGAGTCATTAAAATTCGCACGGATAAGTTCGTAATACTCCTCATTGTAATCCTCTCCGCTGACTCTTAGCGCGGATCCTCCGTGAATTTCCTCAATTGCAGGCGTTAATTTTAACCTGCCGCAATTGTGTGAAATTGAATGGATTAATTCATTAAAGTTGGAAAACAATCGCGTGCACGTACATCGGCAGACGCAATTCTGATCACACGGATCGCACAACACTGTCTCTGGCACAAATCTTGAAGTGAAATACGCATCGTAGATAATCTCTGTAGTAATTTCATCTTGCCGCGCGCTTTTTTATAATAATTAATTTTAATCTCGATATGACGTTTCTTCTTTCGTAAATACGAAAATATATAAACAATTTTTGCACAAGGGAAATAATTAATAACGGATTTCTTTGGATCAGCAGAAGAGGTACTTCGGACTAGCAAGTAAAATTTCTTGTAATTATGCAGCGACCTCATAAAGGTCAAGAGAGAGACAAGACTTAGAATTCATATACGTATAGCGTGTCTGTTGGCCAAATTGCTGGTAATTATGGCGGAGAAAATTAGCTTCAATGTCAATTTAAAGCGCGAGTTATCCGGGGATTCACATCATGGATATTATTTTGAGTTGAACGGAGTGATTAATTAGTAACGTGATAATTAATGTAATATCCAACATCCGCGGATAAGAAGTAATTATAATACAATTATATCGTTAAAATATATAAAATATCACTAGGCACAAATTGTCCACGCGACATTGACCGAATTGTCCCTTTCTTTCTTTCAAAACGCGGCCAATTCTTTTGTATGCAAACCGTCGTCGTGAGATCGCAAAATTCTTCCACGCGGCAATTAATTTTATCTCTGTAAGACACAAAAGATGCTTGATAAATGCGCCAGTACAAGGTGCATTATTATTATGTACGTGGATTGTATTATTCTTAACATTTTACTATATCTGTGCTGAGATTGGCAATTAATTGTACGCTTTTAATTACGTTAATCAATGGAAATGAGTGACGCGTGCAATCGAGACATTTTTTAATGTCACTCGTGATTCCGTAACAAATTTAATTCTTCGGCTCTCGTTGCATCGTTAATTAAACGCTATATCTAATCTTAAAAGCAAGAGGATTTTATTATTAACGACGGAATAACACACAAGCATCCTTGCGTCGAAGTTATAGTAGAGTTCTTCTTGTGAAATTTTCTTTACACGTAAAGGAAATAAAATTAAAAATTATACGTTTCCATAATACATATCGTAAATTCTGTGAAAACACCTCTGTTAGATTAAAATGAAGATAACGTTCTTCGTGTTGCATGTTCGACAAATATATCTGTTAAAAATTTACGCCTCAGGGAATACAGTAATGATTCTTGGGAGCGTCATCAATATGAAATACCGGAAACGGTGAAATACGGGTGATGATTACTACAAAGTAAATTTGTTACTACGAACCCGGATAGGGTAAACTGTCGTGATTTCGTGAGTCATTGCAAATGTCGTGTTATACTAATTATATAGTGCAGGATGCGGCTACAGGAGAACAGGGAACCAGTTCCTAGAGGTGAATGACGCGGTAAAAAATTGTTTTTAGTTAACAATTAGGTCATCTTTGGATATACCTGATTGATATGTATAAATAATAACAGAAAATGATATAGAGCATATATATATATATATNATTATAATTTTCCACATACTTCAACTGTTACTTTTATTAATATCAAAGCCATCCTATTTTAATTTTGTTGGTTCAATTGAATATTTTCAAGAACAATTTCCCATAAAAATGCGGCATTAAAAATACTTTTGTAAAGAATCCCCTTTTTTTATTTATTCTGTAACTTTTAACGATAATGTCTTTATCGTTACGTTGTCGTTGCGCAAGTTTAATATATGACAGAAAAACTATGTTTTGTAAGACAGTGTACAACATCGTACAGATAACGATATTGTCGTTAACAATTACAGAATAGACTCGTTGGAACAACATCAGCAGATCTGAATGATTACGTTACCGACCAGGATGGGTTTGAAAGTATCGCCATCAGCGCCCACGCTGAAGAGACGCAAGAGCAAGAGTAACAACATTCTCTGTGCTACCATACCACGGTAAAACCAACAAACGATACTGATAGCTAAGAATTATAAAAATGTGTCGTTATGTAAATTAAACATATATTTTGTTTCTTTTGCAGTAGATTCGGATAAAGTCAAACTTCACACAACGTGGCAAGTATAGGCGAATGTTGGCAATTATATTGATCACATATGTTGGATGAATATAATATACATGATAACATAACATACGTGATATAGCATAAATAACATAAAATGACTTACGTGACCAATATAATTGCCAACGTTCGCCTAGATTTGCCATATCGTGAAAGATCGCCTTAAGAAAAGAGAACTTTGCAAGATGTTACAGAATTAGTTTAAAATAACAAGGTGATTTTAACGAGTGTAGATCACTAAAGTACAAAGATAGAAGATACTCCCGCCTTCATACTAAAGGTAACGACTCGTTGAAACCGGATGAGAATCCTGCCTTACCTTTCACAGGTTCAGTCGCATCTCTTCCCCTTTTCTCTTCGGGTAAGTTAAATTCCTGCAGAATGTACATTTGTATATCTGAATTCTTATTTAATCTTTTTCTTCAATGTGTTGCAAACGGTCCGCTTGCACAAA